GAAACACTCTATTTAGAATCTTTTAATTTGTATGGAAATTTTTGAAATATCTCTCAAAACCACTAAAATAAATGTCTTGTCAAGAAAATATAGGTAGTTGATAAAACATCTTTCACCTATTATTTATTTGCACATGCGTTCGAGACACTAAGAGCACATATAACTTATTTGGACATGAGTTCAAGACATAAAAAATGAGGAATTGAGAAACCAATAATTACCATCTTTATTAAGATATAAGGGAAAACACACGCTTAAACAAGTGTTTTTATAAACATCTTATAAACTGTTGCATTAAATTTTATTTTAGGGTAAATTACACTCCTAAGGTATTCCAAAATAACTTTCAAGTCCCTTTAGTATCGGTAATTACAATCATCCTTGAAACATTGTTAGAAATCCTAATAAAATAATACATTGGATAAATTATTCTGTTAGGGTTCTAATGAATTATTAGTTTCAGGCAGCGGTGGAGACAGCATAGAGCTAGAGGGTTACACGACTCTAATAACATTTCTTAAATCATTATTATTCATATAAGATTTATAAATTTTCGTATATAGTAGCATTAAGACCACACGAGAAATAAATATAGTGCATATCGGTCACAGAACATGAAATCTTGGCTTCGATAATTGTTTCAGGCATGTCTAAGTAATTTTCAATACCACATGAATTTTAAAGTTATTTTAGCGTACCTCAAGGTGTAGGTGTAATTTACCCCTATTTTGTTTAGGTGCAATATCTTTTGTTTGGGCTATGGATGTAAATACTAAAAAAGCCCATATTTAAGCGGATCTAAATTCAGATCCAATTTGCATTGGGCCGCGTAAACAGTCCGATCAGCACACGACCCATTTCAGTTCACTGCACCCCCAGCTTATCTGAGTTTCCGATGGATAACCCGCCGTCGCCGGCGATGACTGTCTCCGAAGTCGACGATCGGCTGGTAGCCTTCCTAAAATCGGGGATTTATCAACTCGACAACGCAAACGCCTTTTTCATCGATCCTGTTCGGGTTCTGAATCGGTGCTACACCAGGTTTAGGGTTTCTCCTTCAACTTACTACTCCCGCTTCTTCCCCACTTTGAATAATTCTTCAGCTGAAAACCCCCAAAATGCTTCAAAAATCTCGAGGAAACGTAAACGCCGCGACAAAGAGAAGAAGAAAGACCAAGCTCTCAACCTGCGCGAACAAATGGCCGATAGACGCCACAAGGTGAGGCTGCGCCTGTGCGTATGGTTTGTGTGTGCGTCATTGGATGTTTTTTTTTTTTTTTTTTTTTTGTGGAATTAAATAGTTAATTACTGGTTTTTTGAGTGAAGGAGGTGAGATTAGCGTTGCTGGAGGCGCACGAAGCCTTGCTCGGTGCTAATCAGCTATTGGAAACTTTAAGGAATTTGAGAAATGATGGAGAGAAGAATAATGGAGGATCGATTTCGCAGGAGAGCGAGCTTGATTTTGTGGAGTTAGGGAGCGTTTGGCAAGCTCCGTTGTATGAAATTATTCTCAAGGTTCATGAAGATGACACAGCTGTTGAAAATGCAGGTTTTGTTTTTTATTTGCTGTAAAACAGAATTTAATGCTTATTTTTTTCATCTCGCATTAAGATCATCTTTGCCAAAAGATAACAGATTGTCTTCCAATTTACAGTTGAGCTGAAAAATGGATATCTTTATCTATTTGCTGTTTCGGTTTTGCAGAGATACACAGTTTGCTAATCACTAGGTGTTATAATTTTGTAATCGGTTTCATGATATATGTTAGTTTAAAGAATCTGCTGCTTGAATGTTAGTCTTTTTAGCTGTTATAAACTTTACATGTAGGAGGAAGAACAAGCATGTCACCGAATAATTCACCACAACTTAAAACGGGATTGTTGAATGTCGATGTCTGAAATCGTACTTATTTACCTATGTTTGTTTAGTGGCGATTGCAAAATAAATGATAGAGAAAGGAAAATGGATTCGTGCAGATTCATGTCTATATTTACATATATGTCCGTTCAACTTTGTAGGTGTTGAGTCCTATTCTCGAAGAGTGGCTCCAGTGTTTGACAATCTGGTTGCCAATGATGGTAACAGTGACATAGAGGCTGAATTATTGGACCACAAGTACATTTTGCCGAAGCAAAGTTGTTTCTATATGGTACGAACTATTTTCAAGAATTCTGGTTATACTTCTTGTGCTCAGTCTTCTTGATTTTGAATTTTGTGTCTCACTGAAGGTGGCACCAGTTTTTGTCGAGAATTTACTGTTTTATAGAAATGCTTCAATTGAAATTACGCTGCAATCTTACATCTGAAATGGTTTGTTTTCCTTATCGCGAGGAAGTCCGATCTCAGGCAGATTCACACCCTCGTTCCTGGTAAGGATATTTATCTTCATATATATCTGCACAAATTTTATTTAAAGAGATGCAACATAAGTTCTATATGCGTCAGAAATCTTGTCATGAGCTAATTACTAAGGGTTGATAATGGATAGTTACCATTTAACACTCTAGCATACGCATGTAGCATATAATTTCACTATCCTATATCTCCGTTACAATTTGATTAACTGTGCACTATTAACCTCTGGCAGCTGAATCTGACTGTGGCTTCAACGTTATAGTGATTGATCCTCCATGGGAGAACAGCAGTGCACATCAGAAACTAAAGTATGCTCGTTAATTTACACCTGCCTTACTAAAATCAACTTCCGAAATTCCTATTCACTTCTCCTGAAAAAAACATAAAACCTCGATACTGCCATTTGATGTGACACTCTGATTAAGCTTTGTTTCGTTATGTTTTACTTTTCACAACTACAGGTACCAGACTTTGCCCAACCGGTACTTCTTATCTCTTCCTATAAAGCAACTTACCCATAGTGCTGGAGCTTTAGTAGCCTTGTGGGTAACTAATAGAGAGAAGTTGCGGAACTTTGTGGAGAATGAATTATTTCCGAAATGGGGGGTGAAGCATGCTGCCACCTTTTACTGGCTGAAGGTATATTATCGTCTTTTATCACATCAGCGAGAATTGTAGGTCGCGGGTTTCTCTTACAAATCGAAACTAGTTCAAATGATAGGTGAAAGCAGATGGTGTCTTGATTAGTGAACTGGATCTCTTCCATCACAGACCTTACGAGTGTCTTCTTCTGGGCTTTTCTCAAGGGAAGGTGGGCCCCACAAATCACGTGTCGATCCATATCATTTTATTCCCCGTTATTGATGATCGCAGTTCATGCAGGAAATGAATTGTGAACAGTTGCTTAGACTGAATAGCATTCCAGATAATCAAGTCTTTGTTAGTGTTCCAGGAGATTATTCGAGGAAACCCCCAATCGGAGGTATTCTAGTGCCACTAAAATTCTACTTGTGCTTCAAATTCTATAAATCGATAAATCATTTCATTTTGATTTTCTTTTTATTTATTGACGTTGAAACAGAGTTGCTATTGGAGTATGCGCCGGGATTGAAGCCCGCTCGGTGCATCGAACTTTTTTCGAGGGAGATGATGGCAGGCTGGACCTCTTGGGGTAACGAACCCTTACATTTCCAAGATTCGAGATACTTTCTTGAAAGTGAATTATAATCGAAGGGATTAGTCGGGGAAGATTTACCAATCCATAGTATTAATTTCGGCCTCCCATAAAGATTAAATACTTGCGCAAAAGCATGAACACGAAGAACAAATCAGTTGCTGAAAAGCATGGACACGAAGAACAAATCACTTGCTGCCAGTTGATCAGTTGATGGTACGTTATTTATTCAATTTATTACGTCGATGGTGAGACTACATCTATACCCTTTATTGAGTGTAGTACGTACGTAATATCACGCCCTATTTTAAATTAAATTTTATATATTGGAGCTGAGTTGTCTCGACAAAAGTTCGAACTAGCTCGAATTTTTTGTGTTTGAGCTCGTGAGCTCGAGCTCATTCTTAGTTAGCCGTGAGCACGTGAGCTTTTAAAAAAAAAAATTTATTTTAAATATATATTTAATATAAATTTAAATAATCAGAAAAATAGATTACAAGTCAATTTTTTTCCGATATTTTTTTAATAAAAAAAATAGGATCCAAGGTGTGTTATAAATAATAAATATATAAAAATAAATGAAATTAGAGATATAAAAGGAGCCCACAGAAATCGGCTGACATTTCACTGAGGTGGAAACAGTTTTGAATTTTGACCAGTTCAATAATCGAGGTAACAAATGTGGTCCAATAATTCAAAAAAAAAAAGATTGTCCTAAAACTTCTTTTTGCACAAACATGAATGGATTAAAGATTTATTCGAGTATCCCTTTTATGGTCCTCTTTTCTTCACTCAGTTTGACTGGTATTCAGAAAAAATAATCCGGGTATAAAACCGAATTTATATATTTTTACATTACAGTAATATTTAGTTTCATTATCTTTATGCTTAAATATTAATATGTATGTCAATAAATTGAACCGGATAAATTACGATTTGATAAGTTAATAACTGTGTTTAAATGATAGTATTTTTCGTTAAACTATTAAAATGAGATTGTTATTAATTTATCGAGTTTTAACGAGTATGTTGGTATAAAATAAAGTATTTTATCTTTATAAATAATTGAAAGAAATAAATCGAGGGTGGGTCCCACCATGTGGGGTCCAGTAAAATTAACATTTTGTCACTCGTAACAGCTTAAAGTTGGCTTCACGAGCCTTTATCTGTCAATGCAACAAAAATTAAATTAAAATAAAAGAGAAAAAACACATGCACATTAATATGAACACACACACATAAACACCTTCAGAAACACACACTTCAGATTGATTCTTCCACACTTGGGGAAAGCAGGTAAAAAAACCCCAATTCAATTCACACCAACTGTATACACTCGCAGATAGTTCTAGAAAGAGAAATCGAATAAAATGATGTGGGAAGCTGGTGGATCAACCGCGTCGTCTTCAGCTGCCGGAGGAGCCGGCGGAAGCGGCGGCGGCGCCGGAGATGGCGGTGGATCAGGGAGGAGGAAGCCGTCCTGGAGGGAGAGAGAGAATAATCGGAGGAGAGAGAGGAGGAGGAGAGCTGTAGCAGCGAAGATTTATACTGGGTTAAGGGCGCAGGGGAATTACAATCTGCCCAAGCACTGCGACAACAATGAAGTTCTGAAAGCTCTCTGCGCTGAGGCTGGCTGGACCGTTGAGCCTGATGGCACTACTTATCGCAAGGTTAATTGCTTTTTTATTTCATTTTTTTATTTTTGCTTAATTTTTGGGTTCCTTTCTGCTGTTTTAATTGGATCTTTCATATGATTTTGTGATGGGTTGTTTTGAAGCTTGTTTATTCATGGATATGTTTAGATCTGTTAACTTGGGTTATGGATTTCGTGTATTTGGATCAGGATTGATTGCTGTTTACTGTTCGGTTTTCTCATTAAGAAAATATTTCTAGGTTTTAATTTGTACAAAATAGTTGTCTCGGTGTGTTCTAATGCTGCAGTAAAGTTTAGGAAGCTTCGAATATGATATCTTCTGCTTATAGCTAGCTACATTGTGTTAAGAAGCTAAAGTTACTCGTTTATCAAGATTTCGTTTACGAATTACAGTAATTTCGATAGGTTGCTATGAACATTTACTCTCTCTCCTATGTTTCATATATGCAAATATCTATCGGATGCCGATTTGAAACTAAGTCTTGTGATCGTAATTTATTGATATGTAGGGAAGCAAGCCAAGCCCTATGGAAATCGGAGGCACTTCGAATAACATCACCCCGTGTTCTTCAAGAAACCCTAGTCCACCGTCTTCATACTTTGCCAGCCCGATTCCTTCTTATCAACCAAGCCCGTCTTCCTCTTCCTTCCCAAGCCCGTCCCGTCAAGACGGGAACTCACTGTCCCACCCGTTCGCTTTCCTACTCAATTCGATTCCCAATTCGCCCCTCCGTATATCCAGCAGCTGCCCCGTTACTCCACCTCTCTCCTCCCCGACTAGGCGGCAGCAAACTTTCAATCTGGAGAATCTTGCGACGGAGTATTCCATGACCGCCCTGAATATGCCCTTCTTCGCCTCTGCTCCGGCGAGCCCGACCCGGAACCAGCGTTTGTACACGCAGGCGACTATTCCGGAATGCGACGAGTCGGAAACTTCCACTGTCGATTCTTGCCGGTGGATGAACTTCCAAGCTGTGGTCCCCACTTCCCCTACTTTCAATCTTGTGAAACGTGCGGCCGAGGTCGCTCCTTGTGAGGGTGACGTGTTGTTGTTGGATAAGGGGAAGGGCAAGGAGTTTGACTTCGAGAGTATGGCGGTCAAACCGTGGGAAGGGGAGAGGATTCACGAGGTGGGATTGGATGATCTCGAGCTCACACTTGGTAGTGGGAACAACTCTCGCATTTGAGCCGTTTGATTTTGAGCCGTTGATCGAATCGGAGTTGTCGTCAGTTTCTGTTTTCAGGTTTGGGTTATTTTATTCAGCTGTTTTCTCTTTACATTATTATTTGATTATTGGCCCTGTTTTTTTAATTGTTTGAAGGGGGTGTCTATTTACAAAACATTACATGTAGATATTCTTTTTAGTTTCATTTGTTCCATTGTGATCAAGATTATGTTGTTAAAACGTTGTAGATTAGTGGGGATCAATTCATTTCACATTTGAGCTACTCCTACTTTATGTTTTCTTCTTAATCAAAGATTGATAGTTTGTTCAAATATTAATCTTAATTAAATTTGTGAAAAAAAACAGGTCAGGTTTGTTGTGTGGTTGTAGGGGGGTTAGATGCTACACATGGTTATTTATACCGGATGGATTTAAATCGTTGGTTTGATTAAATAAATAACTATCCACTAAGCAGTCTACGATTCAAATCTATCGAGTGTAAATAATCAGGTGTGATATCTAATTTTCTGTTGTTGTAGTTTAGAGATGCATGTTTCTTTCCTAATCTAGTGGCTATAAATTTGTTGTTATTAACCTAAAGTATAATAAGTGGCTTTTGAACTCACATGTAGTGCTTCATCAATGATTATTCTTTGGTCGGCTTGTCAATGCAAGAAATGGATCAATTATTATTAGCCTTCATGCTCATGTTCTCATTTTGGTCAACCAAAATAAATAAATAAATGTTAGTGATCGAAAATAATTTGATAAAAAAAAAAAAAAAATTCTAAATAAAATTGACCCGTTATAAAATCGATACATTTAATTTGTGATGGGTCAGTTCGGGACTGGGCCCAATGGGTTGCGAGAAATGAAATATGCCAAGAGCTCGCTCAAGTGAAGTGTGAGAGTCGAAACGGGTCAAGAGATTCGCTGTAAGTGGTGAGCTGATCTCACGACCGTTAGAGGATGAAATCTGGAGATAACTTTCATAAATAAATAGAAAAGCGTGTAAATTAAGATCAATAATTGAATAACTAGTGTAAACCTCGACAAATAAAAAGACTTTAAATTAGGAAAATAACTATTGGCCGTAGTTCTCTGTATAAACAAATGTATTAAATCCCGTTAGAGTTACTTTGACACACAAAAAAACACAAATAATATACTCACTTCTAAATTCTCTCATTTTATATCGCATTTTCCGTCAGTCTAATTCATCTTCTCCGACGAAAAACTAGTGTTAGATGAATAACCGATCGAATCGAACTGAACGCGACCCTACTATTTAGTGTATTTTGAATCCACCTCTCGAAAGTAGTTTCAAATGAAAGTTGATTCTACATTCATTATTCTCAACCGATCCAAAGAATAATTAATAAAATTAAATTTATTATTTTTGAATTTTACTGCATTATTGAGTTCAAACATAAAAATCTCCACGTGTCCGTTACGTGTCATTTGTCTGCACTTAATTTTTAGTCGAACATCGTAAGTTGAAACTGAATGTGATTCTTTGATTCCCACTGATTCAATTGCGAGTTGATGGAACCCTTTTTAATAGAAAAAAAATAGGAAAAACTAAATATTTAATTATAAATTACGTAAGGGGTTACTTTTCCTTTCGTGTTTGTTAAATGTACTTTTCTTCCGATATATACATTTTTGTAGTGTGTATATAGATATATACATAAGTAGTTATTTATCATAAAAAATTGTATATATTAGTAGTCTATATAAATATACTTGTATAATTAAATATATACATAAAATTTCATAAAAATGAAGGAACCCGCAGCTAACCATATAGTTATAATGAATAAATCTACACCACTTTATAAAAGTTTACAAACGATACGATGAATTTAGGGCAACTTAATGACATATAATTAAGCATTTAAAACCAAAAGTTCTAATTTATAGTAGGTTATATTTAATTTCTAAATTGATGGATAAAACAAAACAATTCAAAATCATGGATGGTTGGGGATTTCAAATATATTGTAATTTAAGAAATCCATTAAATTATAAATTATTTACTTATTATATATGCCGAATCACAATATATAAATAGAAAAAGTTAGTAGCCTAAGATATGAACATAATAAGGCATCACAACAATATTCATAGCAATTTGTTAGGACCACATAACATTGAGCTAAGTATATGTTCCTTTCATGGTTGAAAGATAGTAATTTTTAACAAACTATCATCAAGAAAGTTAAAAGGAAAAAAAAAAACGAAAAAATAATCTCATAAAAATAATTAGATACTTCATGACATGGTCTATGAAATGCTACATTTGATGTAACATATCAGGTGGTTTTGAACCACAAATCTATGTAAGTAATTATTCATTAATCACACATACATATGAATGTTTGTTATTGTTAGTAGTTTTATGATTCAAGATCACCCGCTGTATTTCACCAGGTGTAGCATCTAAAAAAACGATACGAGTCGACAATAATGATTCTAACTGTTGCAGCATCAATATAGCAAAAGTGGGCCACCATATAATTAGACAATTACTTTTGTCTTTTAAATGTAGTTTTAGTTATTATTTATTTTTTCATATTAATATTTATTTTTATAACAATTTCTTTTTATAAGATCATTTAATTAATCACTTTTTAATGTGTAAAGGGAATTTTGTGTTTAAGTTTCTGCTAAAATAAATGTGGCCTCGTCCGTTTTGAATCTACGCTTTTTAGAAGAAAAAAAATGTTGCACGTAAATTTGAAACATTATGTTGAATTTGACATCATAAGAGTGGACGTGTAAAAAAATTCATAGTTGATGGGTAATTATAATTACCTAAATATGAGAAGTTTTTTCGTAATTTGACATAACATCAGGGTAATTGTAATTTAACCAAAATAAAATAAAAATAAACAATATAAATTATTTCATTGGAATCTGAAGGTATTGGCCCTATAAATAGATGGACCGGAAGTCCGGTCTTCTCCACCAAACAATTCCAATTAAATAAACAGAGCGAAAAACTCCGCCACAGAACCACCACGCACGGCGGAGGAAATGAAGTCCCACGTAGCCTTCCTCCCGAGCCCCGGCATGGGCCACATGATCCCGCTCTTCCAGCTGGCCAAGAAGCTAACACTCCAACACGGCTTCCGCGTCAGCTTCATCGTCATCACCACCGGAGCCTCCGCCGCACAGAACCAATTCTTCCACTCCGCCGCCGCCATCTCGCCGCACCTCTCCATCATCAACCTCCCAGCCGCCGACGTCTCCGGCGTGATCTCCGAAGAAATGAGGGTCGTGACTCAGATAGCAGTCATCGCCCGGGAATCACTCAAACCCCTCAAACCCATTCTCGCAGAACTCAAACCCTCGTCCCTCGTCGTCGACATCTTCACCACCGACGCCATTGATACATGCACCGATCTCAGAATCCCCGTCTACTCATTCTTCACCGCCTCCACCGCTCTTCTCACGCTTTCGCTTTACCTCCCGACGCTCGACCGGGAAGTCGAAGGCGAGTACGTCGACCTCCCGGCGCCGGTGGAGATTCCCGGCTGCCGGAATATGCCCACGGCGGACCTTCTCGACCAGGTTAAAGACAGAACGAACGACGAGTATAAATGGTACTGTTTGTGCAAATATTAATTATTTGTGTTAGATTCAGTTTTTGAGTACTGTTAGTAAAATGTTCAAATTCTGACAGGTACTTGCTCCACGTCAGCCGTTTGCCGTACACTGCCGGCATACTAGTCAACGCATGGGATGATCTTGACCAACAGCGGATTAAAGCGTTGACGGAAAACCCTTTCTTCAAGAATTTACCTACTCCGCCGATTTACCCGGTTGGGCCGCTGATAAAAGACGACGAAATCTTGACGGAGAAAGATGCTACAATTCTTGCATGGCTGGATTCGCAGCCGCGTGAATCGGTTCTGTTCGTGTGTCTTGGTAGCGGCGGGACTTTGTCGAGTCGGCAGCTTATCGAGTTGGCTGCCGGTCTGGAACTCAGCCGGCAGCGGTTCCTTCTGGTGGCTCGCCCGCCGACGGACGCGAGCGGCGCCGGTGCGTATTTCAGCGTCGGAAGTGGCGGCGGTGAGGATGCTGACGGTCTGTCTGTTTACTTTCCCGATGGTTTTCTTGATCGGACTCGCGGGGTGGGGCTGGTGGTGCCAGCGTGGGCCCCACAGATGGCGGTGCTCCGACACCGGTCGACGGGGGGTTTTCTGTCGCACTGCGGGTGGAACTCGACGTTGGAGAGCTTGGTTTGTGGTGTGCCAATGATTGCTTGGCCGCTGTACGCGGAGCAGAGGATGAACGCCACCATGCTCGTGGAGGAAGTCGGGGTGGCGGTGAAGGTGGTGGCGGATGCGGAGGCGGAAGTGATTGGAAGGGAGGAGATTGGGAGGGTAGTTAGGGCGGTGATGGAGGGTGAGGAAGGGAAGGTTATTCGTCGGAGAGCCGGTGAGCTGAAAGAGAATGCACTGAAGGCGTCGGAAAATGGTGGTGGACTCTCTCGTTTTGTGGATATTTGCCACTTGGATATCTGAAAAACTTGATAACTCACTAGAGTTATTAATTTGGCAATTATATATATATTGCAATAAATCTACTATTTCCTTTATGATTTAGAGCTTGTGTTTTGTTTTTTCTACATTTTGTTGCTTCTAATTAAGTCTACTTTTATTACTATGGTATGAGCTTGTGTTGTAGATTGTTATGATTGGTTTTAATTGATGATCATGTGTTGTTGAAAATGGGGAAATACTATGATACACTGGGTAAATCATTACAATTCATATATGCGTAAACACACATATCTACATTGATGTGTGTAAATCTACGTAAATAACATTCATCAGATGTAGTATGAAAATCACCTTGAAAGTGTTGGTAAAAGAAAACGATAGATAGAGAGCTTACAATCAAATTTATATCTCCTAGAAGTTTGTTATTTGTGAGAAATTCTAGGCACTATTGAAAACTAATGGAGTGGTTATAGTATATAGGTATTGTAGATGTTACATAATTTAGTGAAATATATTAGATTATATAATTGAATATCATCCCAATGGATGAATTTTATTGGATGCAACACATATTACGGTGTTTGATTAAACTTATAAGCTGTTAAAAAAAAATTATATAATGTTTAAGAGCTTATAAGTTCTTCAAAAGTGTTCGGTATTTATTTTTAAAAATATCTTTTAAACTCAAAATATAAGTTGTTGGTCAGTAATGAGATTTTTTTTTAAATACTTCTATCCCAAACAACTTATAACCTTATTATCCAAATACTTCAAAAATTAGTCCTAAAAATAAGACGTAACATCTTATCAACTCTTAAAACTACTTATTAGATGTAAGAACTTATCAGTTATTTAAAATAAATTTAGCCAAACGGAACCTAATACTGATATAGTCATATATATTTATGTTGGATATATATTTTTTCACATTAAAATTTACTATGACTAGGTCACTCTTAGTTTATGGGGCCTCATTTTAGAATGTTGATGAAATTGATTAAATGCGTAGTTATTATACATTGTTCATATATAATAGGGGTTATATGAGATAACCCCACACTTAATTTCCTAAGAGGGATAAGTCCAATTAATAATCTTATTTTTCGGATAACCCCTTCCATAGGAAAATACATATATTACCCTTATAGTGTATTTTTGAATTTTAATATTTAATTTAATTTCCCAAAATAACTCTCCTAAAAATCCGGCTAATCCCTAAAACCTCTCAAAAAATCTCAAACCGTTTCAATTAAAATAAATTACGTTTGTTTGATTCTGTTTTTTAATTTTGGCCTTTTTTTCTTGCAGAATTTTTTTTTACAAAATTTGATTAAATTGTGTTTTTTTTTTAATTTATTTTTATTCTGGCGCTTTTTTTATAAAAAAATTATAAATTTTGATTTTCTTTAAAAAAAATATTTTCGTTTTTCAAATTGATTTTTATTTTTGATTTTTTTAATTCTCTTTTTACATTTCGATTTAAAAAATAAAGTTTTTAAAAATTGAAATCCACTAGAAACTTATCGAAAACCACTATGTAATTAATGTATTCCATTACAAAAATTCATTATAAAATTATCGAAAACCACTATGTATTATCGTAGTCATTATAAGCTTATCGAAAACCACTAAATAATTAACATTATCTATTACGAATTCGAAAATCCATTATAAGCTTATCGAAAACCATTAAATAATTAACATTATCTATTACGAAAATTCACTGTAAACTTATTGAACATTTCAGTTTTTTTTTTAAAATCATTACAAATCATTACAAAGCTATTTCCAAATCTGGTAGTCGAAAAAAAAAATCGTCATCCTTAGAGAGAACTGATAGATCAGAGGTTGTCTTCGAGACGGTGAAACGAATTCGTCAAAGGGGATGATGGGAAATCATCTAATTGGTGAGGCATAGAAAATGAGAAGACGAATGGTGGTCCTTTCCGTCGCCGATAGAAGAAAATCAGAAGAAGAGATGGTGGTTGGGAAGAAACAAATATCGAGAGATAGAGAGAGAACGAAACGGTACAATTAGGGTTAAATAATGTAGGTATTAGTTTGATTAAGGGTATAATTGTATTATAAAATTTAATATTAAATTATGGATTTATCTTAAAATTAGAGAAGGATCCCCTCTAATAGTAAATGTCATATGAGGGGGGTTTTGTCAAATAATCCATATATAATATTATATATGACTATATGAGTATCTTATACTTGAGATTTGTGTGATTCTCAATTTATCAAATTTATTGGTTATTATATTCCATATATACCCGGCTAAAAATCATTTTGCACCCCAAAATATAACAATAGCAACAATATGCACCCTCACAAATAAAAAAAGACAAGGTGCACCCTCAAATTAAGATTAATTTAACAAATTGCACCCTATAGGTAAAAAATTAACATTTCACATTTTTTACGACAAAATCCAGATTAGCAAGGAAGGGTATATCAGCCATTTCAGATTTAATTTCACTCACGTGCCAGACACGTGAATTTGAAATGGGTAAGAGTGTCATTGACTTCAACCCTATTTTACAATTCTATTTTCTTCTGTTAGTATTTTTGTACCCAAGCGGCCAAGCCACCACACTGCGGAAGATCATTCCTTCATATTAAGGTAAACAAATTTCATCCAACTCATTTTTTTCTACTAATTGTTTCTGAAATGATAAAGAGGTTGAATGGAGTGGCATTAGAGAATCTGATATTGTTAGTGGAAGAGGCAATATTGGGGGAGGAGATACAGTTGAGCATACTAGACTAAACATAAACACACTATCAGTACCCCCGAGATCATGTGGCAGCAGAACACAATTTCCAGTGTATCATGGCGATGCAGAACATTCTGATTTTGAGTTTAGTGTGGGTTTATGCTTTAAATCTGCAGCTGAGTTTAGAGAGGCGATTAGAACTTATTCTACTAAACAAGCAAGGCCTTTGGTTTTTAGGAAGAACTGCAGTAACAAAGTTCAAGTAACTTGTGAATGCGGTTGGAAAATTTTTGCTTCTCATGTTTCTAAAGTAGATAAAACATTTCAAGTGAAGACAATTAATGGTGAACATACTTGCGTCAGGGCTTTATTCGCTAAGCATTGTAGCTCCAAGTATCTCGCTAACAAGTACGTAAGTCATTTGAGAAGTAATCCCGAGTGGCCTGTCAACTCAATGCTAGAAATAATGCAGATGGAATGCAAAACTAATCTGACAATTTCGAAGATGCACAGAACAAAAAAACAGGCATTGAAATTGAATGAGGGAACAGAGGCCCAACAATATGCCAAACTGTGGGATTACATTGAAGAAATGAAGACAAAAAATCCCGACACCACCATCAAGGTTAAATGTAAAAGTGCGATGGATTCTGAAACCGCAACTTTTAAAGCATTATACATTTGTTGGGGTGCTCTCAAGAAGGGTTTTTTAGCGGGATGCAGACCGATCATTGGCTTGGATGGGACTCACTTGAAAACTGCCAAAGGAGGTGTTTTGTTAACTGCAATTGGTGTTGATGGCAATAATTGCATGTACCCCTTTGCATATGCTATGGTTATCAAGGAAAATACCAAAACATGGGAATGGTTTGTAAGTTTACTTATTGATGACTTGGGAATTAAAAATAGTTTTGGGTATACGATAATTTCTGACAAGCAGAAGGGTCTGATTAAGGCGATTGAGAATTTATTACCCAATTCTGAACATAGATTCTGTTTGAGACACATGTACAACAACTTTAAGATGAAGCACAAAGGATTAGCTTTGAAAGACTTGTTGTGGAGGGCTGCTACATCGACTAGAGTGGCGGACTTTAACAGAGTGATGGAGGAATTTAAAAAAGTTGATTCTGCCGCATTTGATTGGTTGAAAGGGAAATCTCCTATGAATTGGTCTAGATCCCACTTTAGTACTTGGCCTAAGTGTGACATGCTATTGAACAACTTGTGCGAAAGTTTCAACAGGGTGATTATGAAAGCTAGGGATAAGCCAATAATTACAATGTGTGAGATAATCAGATTACTGTTGATGAAGAGAATTCATGTGCAAAGGGATAAAGTTTTGAAGTCTAAAGGTGAAATATGTCCTAATGTGCAAAAAATATTAGAAAAAAATAAGAAAAAAGCCCATGAATATATCTTAAGTTGGAACGGAAGCCATAAGTTTGAAGTTAAAAGTTGGCTTGGTGATCAATTTATTGTTGATGTAAAAAATAAAACCTGTAGTTGTAGAAGGTGGGATCTTACAGGTATTCCCTGTGTTCATGGCATTGCTTGTATATTCCACAATAGAGCTAAGGTGGAAGATTATGTAGATAAATGGTATACCAAAGATACATTTTTTAAGGCATATGAGCATGTGATGGAACCTGTAAGAGGTAGGGAGGAGTGGCCACATTCAAATTTAAAACCATTGGTACCATGGATTTTAGAGACCAAAAAGCTTGGAAGGCCATGCAAATATGCAAGGAAGAAAGAACTGGATGAGTTAATAATCCAGCAAGAGATTGGGAAAAAAATGAGAAAAGGAGGATCTAAGTACATGTGCTCGAAATGCGGAAGAGTAGGACACAATAAAAGAGCATGCAAGGAGCCACCACGATCTAGTTTACCAATTAATCACTGCAATCAAAGATCAAGAACTAAACTCCCTGTAAATTACTATATTTTTTGTGTTTATTTATTTTTTATAATTAAGTTATGTCAAAATTTACATGCCTCTTGTATCTCTCAATATGATGAAATTTATAACCTGCAGGTTAAGAAGAAAGTTGCTACATCTAATCAGCCTCTTGATTCAAACATTAATGTTGGTGTAAATGTTTATTAATACTACAATAATTATGGTGGTGCTATATTGACACAATCAACAATTAATACACTTTTTTTTTGTGGATCTTTTGTAGGGGTCTACCATTAATGTTGCATCTTCTATTAGGATACACGAATAGGAGGATGGTAGTTTTGCGGCTCAGTCAAGTACGGGAAATTCTACTGCAATGAAGACCAATAGCTGATATAATTTGTGAAAATTGTTTCGATACATTGATTTTAGGGTGTTGCATGTCTTGTTCTTTTTTATGAAAACTAGTATTTTGTTTTCATGGATGCCAAACTCTTATTCTGATGAGAATGGATACTTCACAATTTTTAGTTTGATAGATAATTTTCTTGCTCTAGAAGTCTCTGTTTAAGTTTTTTCTTTTCTAGCTCTCTCCTTTGGATAGCATGATACAGCAAAAATAAGGTTTACTCTGTGCAATGCAGAAACTAATTTCTCATTAAACGAGAACCAACAACTATCAATCCACAAATAATAGAAGTGCCCTAGAGCTCTCCAATACTTTAGTGATTTTTTTATTAAAATTGGCATTTCTTAACTCCATAGACAGCTTGTATACAATCTCAATTCTATTTGAATTCATCCATTTTGCTATTAATTTTACAGTAAATGAAATTGATGGGAAAAACTGGTACGAATACATTCCTCAATATATATATAATATATTATGTATATGGTATACCCATAATCCCTGCAATTTTTTTGTATTTGTCAAACCTATGGTCACTTGGGTAGAAGAAGAAAATAGAATTGTAAAATAGGTTTTCAGTCAATGACAGTCTTACCCCTTTCAAATTCATGTGTCTAGCACGTGAGTGAAAATAAATTTGAAATGGCTAATATACCCTTACTTACTAATTAGGATTTTGTCATAAAATATATGAAAACGTTAATTTTTAACTACAGGGTGCATTTTGTTAAATTACTCTTAATTTGAGGGTGCACATTGTCTTTTTTCATTTGTGAGGGTGCATATTGCTACCATTGTTATATTTTAGGGTGCAAAATGATTTTTAGCCTATATACCCATACACGAATATAAGTATATAACCATTTATAACCCCTATTGTTGTATGAAAGGGCACACTAATATGACAATGCATTAGATGCTAATTATATGCAATTTGCGAAAAGCTAAGAATAAACTTGACATAATGTTGTCTCATCAAATAAAATAGTTCATATGGTCAAATTACACATTTTTCGAAAGATGATGTGACCACATTCGAATTTATCTAGTAGATGAATTAGGGAGAATATCGTTTGCCTTTAGAATTAGTCGGACGAAACTGGAAAATATTGTGTTAAGCCTTTTTTTTTAAGTAATTGTGTTCGGTAGTTATGTATTCGACATTATAGTTTTTCTATTGAAATGGAGAGTGAGATGCTACATGCGGTGATTTTTAGCTATTGATGTGGTTAAATGTACTCACTAAGCACATGAGAGTCGGTAACTACATCTAATTATTTTCACTGGATGGTTAGTGACTGTAAATGTCGTAAAATAACTTCCTGCTAAGCACATATACACGTGAGTATATGTGATTATGTACAAATCTACGTTTAACAACCACCTGGTGTGATTAAGTAGACATAAGTGCATGTATGATTATGTTCAGATCGACGGAAAAAAATCACCACGATATAAACAATCTAGTGTAGGGCTTAATTCCACTTTGCACCCTTGAAATATACCATTTTGGCACTTTGCACCCTCGAAATAAATTAATAGCACTTTGCACCCTCGAAGTACAATAAATCATGCATAATGCACCCCAAGTGATTTTTTAAAGCTAAAAAATATAAATTTAATATTTGTAGTGATATTTTTTTAGGATGCCAAATGTCAAATATTTTTTTTATTCATCAATCATTTTGAAACTATAAAGTTCAAAAATAAAAATACATTCCATCAACATATTTAAAAATTATATTGTTTTATCAAAATAAAATATTTTACGAAAAAAATCATTCAGCTATTACGTTATCAAGTTATCTGAAAATTATTTTTGCTTCCAAATATTTTCACCTAATATTTTACAAACAGTGACATAAAAGATCCACAATCGAATAATTTAGTGATAAAGGATTATTTTTTTTATTTTTCTTTTGTAAGATAATGTAGTTTTTTTTAAATAATCCGGTGTAATTTTTATTTTTTCGCACTTTGTCCGCTCGAAATTAGGTTTGAGGTTCAAGAAAACAACAATTTTTTTTTTATTTTGTACCCCAAAAAGAAAAACACCAATGAAAAATAAAATTGCCTTTATTATTCAATTGAGGGTGCATTGTGAATGATTTATTGTGTTTTGAGGGTGCAAAGTGCTATTATTATTTTTCGAGGGTGCAAAGTGCCAAAATGGTATATTTCAAGGGTGCAAAGTGGAATTAAGCCCTAGTGTAGCATCTAATAACTTATTTTATTTAAGCTAGAAAAAGTAAAAAGAAAATTATTATGTGGAAAAGGTAAAAAAGAAAAAAATTAAAAACCAAACATTGTTAACCAATGAAAAATTCACGCGCCAAGACACCTATTTTCTACACGCGTCAACTCCACTTCGCCACCAGGTTGATTCCGACCGGATTACGTCAGCTTTCCTTCACCACATCACAGCTGAAACAGAAAAGCTATGAGCAGCAGCCCACTGAACCGTGAATACCACAAATGGAATCCAATACTCAAAAACCCGCCGCCGTGCAACCCGAATCCGATGCCCACCCACTCCTCAAACCCGACCCGGAAACCCCAAACCCCCGATCAATCTCAGCAGTATCCAACCCAACCATCGAAGAGGAGATGGAGAATAAGTACGCCGCCTTCGTCCGCCGCGACGTGTATGGAACAATGGGGCGGGGGGAGCTGCCGTGGCCGGAGAAGTTTTTACTAGGACTCGCCGTGGTGTTTTTGGTACCGATAAGAGTGGCGGCGGCGGCGTATATCCTGGTTTTTTACTATCTAATTTGTCGGATTTGCACCGCGTTTCTAGCTCCCAACAGGGAAGACGGCGGGCAGGAAGATTACGCCCACATCGGCGGGTGGCGGAGGGCGGTGATTGTGCAGAGCGGCAGGTTTCTATCTAGGGTTTTGCTTTTCGTTTTCGGGTTCTATTCGATTAGCGAAACGAACAGAGGCTTTAATGCTGATGGGCAATTCGACACGCAGGTAGGTACAATTTATCGAGTAGGACTCGAATTCGATTACGTTTAGTGAATTCGATCAAGTAGAATGCATTATTAACAAATCAATTTTGTTTAAGATGTACTACATTTGATTTTGTGCTTCAAAAAAAAAAAAATTCAGTTTACGACCGAAGAGGAAGAAAGACCGGGCGTTATTGTATCGAATCATGTATCGTATATAGATATATTGTATCACATGTCTTCGTCTTTCCCGAGCTTTGTTGCTAAGGTTAGTTAAATCTTACTGGTTCTTGTTGTTTTACGTACATGCTGTTAAGAATCATATTTTTCTTACACGAATCGATGTTTTCTTTTTTGTATTGGTTATGTTTTGCGATTCTGTTTGCTCAAGAGATCCGTGGCTAGACTTCCTCTTGTTGGTCTTATAAGGTTGGTTTGCTCTACTTTGTATATGTCTGTTACGTAGAGTGTCGTCGTTTCCATCTGTTTGCTGTGATAAGTATATTTTACAAAGTGAAACGAATTTGTGAATGTCAAATAGAACGACGACTGTTACTCTATATTGGTTTCGTCGTAAATCGTAATAAATTAGTTTTCTTTATCACCTTCCTCAATTGGATTTTTGTATGGAATGACGACCCTTTCTATATTGAACTTGTTATATATCTTAGCTTACACTCTTTTCTCAGTTTCTCGTTTCGTTTATTGACCCTCTTTTCATATTACAGCAAGTGTCTCGGTTGTGTCTATGTTCAGCGTGAATTAAAATCGTCCGACTTCAAGGGGGCCTCAGGTACTCTTAACGTTTTTTTTTTCCAACAAAATTTTATTTATTTATTTAATTTTTAAAATTCAAATCGTGTTACAAATTGAGAAACTACGCGGGAGGGGCATAATTTAAAAGCTAGGTACCAACTCTCCGGGTTGGTAATTTTATTTACTTCATTTTGGCTAGAGTAGATTGAAATTAGATTTTCCTGGCTTGTAGATTGATATTCATTTTTTTTTCCTGGTGGACTCAAATTGACAAAGCCTTCTCTAATTCCCATTTGGAATCATTAGCCTAAAAAAATAAAATTGTTATTGTATTAATATGAATTCGTGAAAATATTTCTTACTTGTAAGATTGGGTCCACCTATTTTCTGCCCGACTTTAAAGAATTTGAACACTCGGGAACATTCTTGTTAATTTATGGTTTGGTTTTTGCAGTTGTCGTCAGTGAAAGAATTCGAGAAGCTCACATGAATAAGTTTGCTCCGAAGATGATGCTTTTCCCAGGTTGTGCTTTGTAACACCATTTCTAGATTCTCTCATTTTTTATTTATTAATTTGGTAAAAACAATCGTGTATAATTAATAATAATTCGTTTGATCATTTAACAGAAGGCACAACCACAAACGGAGATTACCTACTTCCGTTTAAAACCGGTGCATTTTTGGCAAAGGCACCGGTACTTCCCGTCATTTTAAGATATCCGTACGATAGATTTAGTCCTGCATGGGACTCTATTTCTGGGGTGAGCACTTTTCTCGTCCCGAAAAGTTATTTAAAAATAAAAAGATTAAATTATCGAAATTTGTTATGATTGAGGATTCCTCGTATTTATAATATGCAAGTCACGATTTGACCAACTATACGATATTTGCTGATTTAATAAAAATGTTAATTGCAGGTTCGCCATGTGATTTATCTTCTCTGTCAGTTTGCAAACTACATCGAAGTGACGCGATTACCTGTTTATAATCCGTCGGAACAAGAAAAGGAAGATCCGAAGCTTTATGCTGAAAATGTTAGACGGCTGATGGCTCACGAGGTACTTTTATTTTCTTAAAACTTGTGTTTAGTTGTTAATTAATCCCTTCTAAATATCTCTATTTAATTAGTTGTTTGATTTTGTGATGCAGGGTAATTTAGTAATATCAGATATCGGATTGGCAGAGAAACGAGTCTATCATGCTGCTCTCAATGGTAATATTAATTTGCCTACTGTTTTGCATCAGAAATAAAAGTGATAAATTTCATCACCTTGCTCTGAAAAGTTACGTCGACCATCTGGGACGATAAACAGTATATATATATATATATATATATATATATATATAGTGTAGAACCTCGATAACTTAATAACCTCACTTGAATTAGAATTTCTTCCGGTCCCAACTCGGTAACAACGTACTAAATTATTAGTTCGATAATTTAATATTTCGTTTAATGAATAAAATTTTGTTAGTCCCGATTATATTAATTTATTGAGGTTTAATTGTACGTATATATGAAAGGTTTAGAATTAGTATTTTTTTGTTAAGACGTAGTTAAATTAAATCTGAACATCTCTTTGGTGTTCCTTGCTGCAGGTTTATTGTCTGAGAGATAATTCGGGTTCGTCGGGGTAAACGGAAATACTAATACTATGTTAATTACCGACTGGCTGTCAAGAAATCCCTGTATTTTTCCATCTAATTACAAGATTGTCCCCATTGTTCATGTACTCGTAATAATGTATTTGGTTTGTTGAAAAACAATTTCGCGGATTCAATCATCGGCTCTAAATACATTAATATTTTGATCATATGTTTATTTGGATGCATTTATAGAACATCCCGAAAAAAATTCTGTTTATTAGGCCTGTTTGGATCAAACCATTCGTACAATTTGAATTTCTAGCCAAAAAAGTGCAGGAGGGTGGAAAGTGCCAAGGAATTCGCAATTGGTGGGTGCAAAATGCTATTTTTACAAATTAAGGGGGCAAAGTGTCAAAACCATGTAATTCCAGGGTGCAAAGTGCCAATTAATACATCTGTTTATTTTATTTCCTAAATTAAAAAGAAAGTAATTGGTAATAATACCAAATAAGATTTAGTATTATTTAGTTGAAGTAGAGTTCTTTTCCTATAAGGAAATCCAAATCCCACACAAACTAATAAATTTGTCTATATATAAATACTTCGTCTTCCAGAATTCTTCTTCTGCGAACGATCGAAACCCTTCTCTCTCTCTACTTTCTCTACTCTCTCTCTAGAACTATGGATCTCAACAGCTATCTAAATCATCACGCCGTAACTTCAACCACCATGCGGGATCAGCCCGCCGAATTGCCGCCGCAGTTCACCGTCGTGTTACAGTTTTCCTGCAAACTGATTTCCTCCCTGTTCATCTTTCACGGAGATTCCGACGAGCCGGAGTTACGTAGATGCTACCATCATCCCCAGAAAAGCACCACCGTCTCCCTCAATCTCGGCCAATTCTTCGACCGGGAAGAAACACGAGAGATCATCGAAACCAATCTCCTCCTCCTGTGCTCGGACATGGCGCCCACAATCAGGCAGCGGTGGGTCGACTACGCGGTGAAGAAGGCGAGGGAAGTCGTGGTGTCCATGCCACCTCAGCACAACGTTGTTATCGTCAGATTCCCGGCGACCTTGAATCTTGACCTAATCTGCCGCCGCGCGGCGGAGGAGATGGTCGACCGGAATAATTACATGGTACCTGCTGCGGAGTCGTGGATCGAAAAGAGCTTGAGTAAGAAGACGTTGACGGAATATTCTCCCGACCAGAAAGGAAGCAGTACTACTTGCGCCGTTTGCCTGGAAGATTTCTCCGGTGGCGGTGAAGATGATGTTTCGGTAATGCCGTGTGAGCATTATTTTCACGGAGATTGCATCGGAAAGTGGCTGAGGACTAGCCACTATTGCCCCGTTTGCCGCTTTGAAGTTCCGACGACCGAAACCTAGATATTGTTTAATTTGTTTGCTTAGTTAACATATATGTTATTTAGGGTTACGATTTACTTCTACCGATCGCGTATTATGTATTAAGAGTTGAAGTTCCTCTATACAAAATTGAAATAAAATTAAAGTATTTGTTGTTAGTTTTTTCGGCTTTCGAGTAAACGGTATAAACTATGAAGGGATCGGATGAAAATACGACTATTCTGATTTTCAATTAAGAAAATAATATTTTTTTTTATAATAAAAATGCAAATTTATTGAATAGTATAAACTTGATTAGTATCGAAAATAGGGATTTCAAAATTGTTCGGATTTTATTGTGGAACAAAAGATAAACTTCATGTAAGATGGATCGAAAGCTTGTGGGGTTCGGAGCAACGCTCTCGAATATTGTCGAACGAGTCGATCACATAAAATATATAAAACAAATATTCACAAGTATTTTAGAGTTTAATAATTAAAATTATGTCAATTATCCTTCAAAGCTATATGATCACAAATAACCATGTAGCTTAATTAGATTCCTTTTTTCAGGTTAATATATAACATATATGTACATATAAATGTACAAAATATCCAATTAAATTTTAATTTTCGAAAATTACTAATTTTTTTCCTGAAAATTGAACTTATAATATTAATATTATTATATATTTTATGTTATAGGTGACCAAAAATATGAAAATTTTGAATTTTGCCAATTTTAATACTAATATATTTTTTTTTCCAGTTTTTTTACGGAATTAGAATTAGTATTTCACTAAACAAAATTAAAATATTCCCAAATTGCTAAATTCGATCCGATTTGTTCGGTTATGAAAGGTGTAAAAGATTTAAAAAAACAAAATTTGAAGTCCATATACTTTTGGCAACTTAATTAATACGTCTGATTTTCTTAATTAGCAATTAATTAGAATCATGTTATTATACAGTAAAACAAAAAGTTGCTTCTAATAATATATACTAATATATGGGAATATAATAGAAAATCGGAGGTACCCACGAGCAGCTAATTATCAGAAAATCGGAGTTCATTAATTCGAATTTTAGTTTTTATTTATTTATTTGTATTTATAATAGAAGAATCTCCATATTTACATCTTTTTAATTTGTTTTCTTGAATTAACATAGTATTTTATATAGAGAAGATTCATATATTTTTTTTGTGTGCATAATAATTGACATAAAAGAAATATAAAATAATATATTTTTCACATAACAAATATTTACATGCGTGAAGTATGTAATAATTTACATAAAAAAGGCTTTTTGGCAAGTTTTCATGGAAATTGTTAGGTTTTAAATATACAAATGTAATTACACATGAATATAAAAGAGCATATAATTACACTAACTAGGTTGATGTGATAAGCTATGTACCGCGGACACTAAAAAGATGATCAATACGAGAAAACTGATATGGAAAAATGATATATCCAAAAAATGGGGATACGGGAGCTTAAGAAAACGTATAAAAATTTAAAGTATAGAGGTATATTTGTAAATATGCTATACAAATTTTTATTTATGTGCAAACATATTCAAAGTAATTTTACTATATCAATTTGCAATTAATTGTTAAATCATGTAAATAACTATGGAATCAACATAAATATTTGAAAATTTGCTATCAAGCATATTTCTAACTTTTTAGAAATTGCAAAATGATTTATAAGATGTTCGGCAGGTCGGTATGTGGCCCGAGTGTCCGATACGAAACGTGAAAACATTAAGAATGTGAAATTTCCGTGTTTCATAGTATATACTATATACGCTAAACAAAACAATAATTTCTTTTGTAGAAAGACAAAAAGAAAAAAAAAAAGAAAAGAGAAAGAAAACAAATAGGGAGTACTTAATAACGTTATATAAATAAATAAATAAATAATAAAAAAAAATTAAAAAAAAAAAGAAAAAAAAACCGAATTGTAGTAGAATTGAAGTTGGACCCAACTCAATCCATCAAGAAGGAAGAATTGAAAAGGCTAAAATTGAATTGATTGATTTATTTTTTATATATATTAATAAAATAAATATTTGTTATTGAACCGAATTTGATAAATTACAAATTAATAGTACTATAAAAGACTAAGGAATCCAAAGTCGAATCAAACAACATCTCCCCAAACACCCTCTTATATATAAACCCTATCCGCCACCTTTACTCTCATTCATTCTCATACTAATAAAAATATTTACTTTTAATTTTCTCTTCTCTTCTTGATGGAGCAAATCAACTCCGACAACATCAACAATGTTCTTCTTTACGATCAAATAATCTCCAACACCAAACGCGATCACCCGGTCCCATCTTGGCCGGAATTCATAATCGGTATCCACTTCTATCTGCAACCGATCTCGCAATTGTACGTTGTAAACGTAGATTCGGGGGAGGCGGAGTTAACCGGGAGTTACCCTTTCCCTACCGTGGAAGATCAAGTCTTCCTGAATCTGCGCGATTTCTTACACCACCGGAGGGCGCGCGACATCATCAGAGAGAAACTCACCCAATCGTTCATGTTCGTGATCGGGGATGAACTCCTGCATGAGTGGATCGGGTCGGTGCTCCGGAAGACGAGGGCGATTATCAGGTCCATGCCGGCCGAGCACAACATCGTGTTGGTTATGTCCCCGGCTAGGTTTAGCTGCCGGTCCGTGTACGATCCCAGGTTGGCGGCGGTGGAACAATATTACGAGAATATTAATTATATGGTTCCTGCGGCGGAGGAGTGGATTGATCGGGTCTTGGTGAAGAAGGCGGTGACGGGATATTCTTGCGACGACGATTTCGGGACTTGTACGGTTTGCTTGGAGGGATTTTCCAACGAAGCTTATTCGATGCCGTGCGAGCATTATTTTCACGGAGATTGCATCCGGGAGTGGCTGAGGACTAGCCACTACTGCCCCGTTTGCCGTTACAAGGTTCCGACGACCACGACCACGACGATAGAGATTTTGTATTGATTTAATTTTTTTTCGGCTAGAGATTTGTTATTTGTTTAGGATTCGAACTCTTGGGATTAGAAAAAAAAAAAGTGTCCGTAATTGTTTTCAGATTGATCAATAAATTAAGGTTTTATTATATTTTTAGATTTAACCCTATACAGATGATTGAATTTAATTTATGATATTTGTTATAAAAAAGACTCTTAATATTTCTAAATAAATTTACCATAAAAAAAAAAAAAGGATATAGAGAAGGTTGAAGTTGATCTGGGAAGGACTCATAAATACTTCCAATCTTAATATTTCCAAAGAAAATTACCAATAATAAAGGTTAAATTGGACGAAAGGACTTTTAATCTAAGTTATATTGTAAAAGGCCTGAATCACACGATTAATCATTGTGATGGTGATTAATTAAAAATATCAATTTTTCATATGTAATTAATATAAACAAAATAAAGCATAAACTCATTTTTTTATTATAAGCACAATTGCTTTTATTGGATTAAAACAAACCCTAGATTTGAAAACTGTTTTTTTGCTATTAATGTTTGACATGTGTCCAAGGTACATCAATTCGAATTAATTCGAGGTACCGACGAGCAGCTAATTATCAGAAAATCAGAGTTAATTAATTCGAATTTTAATTTATTTTTATTAATAATAGAAGAATCTCTATATTTACATCTTTTTAATTTGTTTTCTTGAATTAACTTAGTATTTTGTATAGAGAAGATTCATATTTTTTTTTGTGTATGATAATTAACATAAAAAAAATATAATATAATATATTTTTCACATAACAAATATTTACATGCGTGAAGTATACAATAATTTACATAAGAAAGGCTTTTTTTTCAAGATTTCATGGAAATTATTAGGTTTTAAATATAATGTAATTACACATGAATATAAAAGAGCATATAACACTAACAAGCAGGGGCGGACCCAGGGGGTTTTTTTTTGGGGGCTGAAATATAGGGGTAAGTTAAGAAATAATTTTTTTTTGTTTTTAGGACTAAAGTGTACAAAATGAAAAGTTTGGGGGGGCGAAACTGCATAAACTAATACTTAAATACCAAAAAAAAAAAAATAAAAAAAAAAAAAAATACTTAAAACTAAAATCTTGGGGGGGCGGGGGCCACCCCAGCCACAAGGGTGGATACGCCCCTGCTAACAAGGTTGATGTGATAAGCTATGTAGCGTGGACACGAAAAAGATGAACGAGAAAACTGACACGGAGAAACGACATATCCAAAAAATGGGGATACTGAAGTTGGAGAAACGTGTAAATATTATAACTATAGAGGTAGTCACGGCCTTGCGGTAGTTCGGGCCGGTTCCGGGCCGGTTCACTCCGGTTCGCGGTTCACTTTTTCCGGAACTGGAACCGGCCCTTACTACGCACGGTTCGGCGGGCCGGGTCCGGTTCAATCTGGTTCCGGGCCTATCCGCGCCGGTTCCGGGTCGGCCCGGAAATTTATATTTAAATATATATTTTATAAAAAAAATACTTAATGGATAAATAAATTAAAATAATTACTTTTAAATAGGAAAAAAACAAAAGGAAATAAATAAAATGACTTTTAACGTAATTTTATAGCAAAAAATGGGGTGTGAGGATATTTATAAGAAACAATTGGGGTAAAAAATTCAAAAAATAGCAAATAACGGCCGGTTTACCGGGTCGGTTCACCGGCCGTTATTTGCTTTTTTCTTGAACTTTTTTGAAATTTAAAAAAAAAAAAAAAAAAAACTGGGTGAACCGCTGGGCCGACCCGGCGGTAAACGGTTCACCAATTCATAGAACCGGGCCAGTCCCGGGGACGACGGGCCGGTACACCGGTCAACGGTTCGTCAACGGGTCAGTTCCGGGCCATGGCCGTGTCTACATAGATGTATAGTTGTAAATATGCTATATAAATTGTTATTATTATAACTATAGAGGTATATTTGTAAATATGCTATATAAATTTTTATTTATGTGCAAACATATTCAAAATTTGAAATTTTATAATCAACTTGCAATTGATCGTTGAATCATGTATATAATTATGAATCAACATAAATATTTGAAAATTTGTTATTCAAACGTATATTTAACTTCTTAAAAATTGCAAAATGGCTCATAAGATATTCGGCAGGTCTGAAAATGTCCGATACGAAACGTGGAAATATTAAGAAGGTGAAATTTATATGCGACATAGTATATACGTTAAACAAAAACTATAATTTCTTTTGAAGAAAGACAAAAAGGACAAAGAAAACAGAAAAAAAAAAGAAAAAAAAAGAAAAGAAATAGGGAGTAATAAAGTTATATAAATAAATAAATAATAAATGATAAAATTAAATTTAAAAAAACGAATTGGAGTTGGACCCAAGTCAATCCATCAAGAATGAAGAATTGAAAAGACTAAAATTGAATTGATTGGTTTATTTTTTATCTTTATATATAAAAGAAAGGTTTTGCCGGAAACCCTAATTCCAATTTTGTGAAATATTTGTAACCCTAGGGTTATTTTTGTCAGTTTACTTGCAAGTCAATATATTTTCTTTTGTTTTTCTCCCGTCAGTTTTCTACATGTTCCCACGTTTAAGAAGAAACCGTTATTATAACTCCTCAAGAAAACTTCCTTCTTCCCCCTTTTCTCGATTCCATATTCCACGATGATCTGTTTATAAGTTCATAGTCGCTTTGATTCTATTTATGGATTCTTCATCTACCATCGCTACCGTAAAACATTCATATATTCATAGTGATTTCCCTTCCGTGTATTGATAATTTGTTTTTTGCAATGCCTGCTATACGCCTCATGCATGTATATCTATGGTATATTTTGGTAAATTTTGAATCATCTATTTTTTTAATTTGATGTATGAATTTATGCACTGAATTATTGGGTTTTTGTTGTTTCGATGTATTACAGTCCTCTTGAAAGTTTACTTTTTTTCTCTCTGAATACCACAATATTTTTTCAATTGTTAGAAAGTAAAAAAAAAAATCACTGTGAAATGAGGATTGGGTAAAAAATCACTGTGAAATGAAGGTGCTTAATAGAGGCAAAAAGGTCTACTGAAGGGAGTCATATGGATTTTTTGGTTTTGAATTTGGTTTTTTATGTTCTTTTTGTTTTTCTTTCTTTGTTTCTTTGTAAAAAAAAAATTTGTAAATGTTTGTATGTATAATCTGAGTTTTCTTCTTCTACAGAGGGTGTGACAAATTCTTGGGATATTTTTGGATTTGAGGAGATATATGGTTGGCTATACGGATTCTGATATTGCAAAATGTCGGTACTGTGCCTTGAACTTACTTGATTGTCTGCTTTTCTGTAATTTGTGTTTTTTTGACTCAATGAGGACACCAACTATGATGAGTTGTAAACTAGAGAATTGGTGAGTTCGTTGTTTGCTTTGTTTAAAGACGTTCAACAAAAAGAGTTCCGGTGAACAACTAAGTTATTTGAGGTTTTAAGTTTTGAACAAGTTTTTATTTTTGGAATATGTTACAGTTGTTTCGTTTGCATATGTTTCTTCAAGTAATCGTGTGATCCTTAGTGTCACATCACTCTCTATTTTACATTTCGTAATAAGCAATGACAAATATAACAACTCAGTTGTATTTGCCTTTTCATGTGTTATGCTTTAGTTAACCAAATGAGTATATATAATTCTTTCGTTTTTATGTTAAATAAAAAAATTGGAGGATCTTTATTTACTCTTTAAGATGTATATGAAAGTATAAGCATTTAATTATGGAGTAATTAATCTGTTTCTTTTGGGTGCAAAAAATAATTGCGTTGAAGAAGACATACATGAAAGAGGAGAAGCGCAGTGAGTAGTCCTTAGGTGAAATTTTTCGAACTTTTTTTATAGATTTGTATTCCTTGATAAATTATTTATATCTGCAGATACTATGCATAGAGTGGGTTCTTTTAGTTACATGTGTTTAGTGTTATTATGATTTTGTACCACATAATGTGTTTTTTTTCCCTTGCATTGTATATCATTTGCTTCAAATGCAAAGATATCTTTATGGTAAAATATTTTTATCAATTATGTATGCATGCTTAATGACTGACAACATCCAAATGTAACCATGTTCATACAAGAAAAAGAAAGTTTTTCTTTTTTATATTTAGAAAGTAAATCAATTTTCAAGTTATATTTATTATTGGGATTTTTATGCATAAGTCCCTAACCAAGTATATTTATTATTCTAGGCTTAGGAGTTATATCTCTTTCACCGATAAGTATTTTTAATATTTATTATAAATAAAGGAAACATTCATATATATCTCAATATTACCCTCACATTTATACCAAATTCTTAATTGTAACCCCAATTTAATCAATTTTGACCACAAAAATTCAATTTTGACTTTTTTTTGGAGCATACTTTAATATGCTCCAATTTCATCCTTAACTTAATTTAATCTCAATTTGACCACAAATTTCACAATTTTTTCAATTTTGACCCAAATTTTTTTTTAAAAAAAAAAAACAATTTTTGCCGCCGGTTTCCGGCGTTGACTTTTTTATTTATTTATTTTTTCTTTTTTCTTTTCTTTTCTTCCAGATTTTTTCGCTGATTTCCATGTTGACTTTTTTTAGTTTTTTTTACGTCCGCCGCTTAATGTTGACCGTAGTTGTGCTGTCACTGACAATAAATTAAGGGGTAATTGTACTGTCAATGACAGTTAATTAACGTAATTGTAGTGCAATTGACAATACATTTATGTAATTGTTATGCCGTTGACAGTAAATTAACGTAATATTATTATTTTTTATTGTTAGTTATTTTTTTATTTTTATTTTTTTGATTTGTTGACAAGTCAACGTAATTATATTACTGTCGTTGACAGTAAAATAACTGTAAACACAATAATATTACTTCAACAACATCAATATTATTATTTTTTTGGGTTTTTTAGTTTTGTTTGAGTTATTCACGGAATAAAGTAATAATATTACTGTCTATTATTGTAATATTACTGTAAACACAATAATATTACTGTGGTTGACGGTAATATTAATGTTGTTATAGTAATATTGTTGTCAACCACATCAATATTATTATTTTGTTTGGAATTTTTTGTTTGTTTGAGTTATTCACGGAGTAACGTAATAATATTAATGTCTATTATTGTAATGCTACTGTGGTTGACGGTAATATTACTGTTGTTATAGTAATATTACTGTCACTCACAGTAATATTAATTCTTTTGGCTTTTTATTATGGTTACATTTGTTGAACGGTCAACATAGTAATATTTCTTTATTACACAATAATAATGGGTTTTGTTGTGTTAACATTACTGTGCTAAAGATTAATATAGCAATATTACTGTGTTAACCTATAGTTTAGTTAATTTTACTATGTTTAACAGTAATATAGTTAATATTACTGTCAATCACAGCAATATTGTTGTTTAAACGAAAAAAAAAAGTTACAAAAAGAAACAAAAGTAAAAAAAAATCAAAGCCGATCAACGCCGGAAACCGGCGAAAAAATCCATAAGAAAAAAAATATGAAAAAGTCAACGCCGGAATCCGGCAGGAGAAAGAATTGAAAAAAATAATTTTTTTTGAAAAAAATAATTTTGAGTCAAAATTGAATAATTTGTGAAATTTGGGGTCAAATTGAGATTAAATTAAAAGTTAAGGATGAAATTGGAGCATATTAAAGTATGAGGAGTTATTTTAGTCCTTTACAAAAATCTGGACCATGTGTGGACTTATTGATAAATGAATTTTTTATCTGGATCACTTTATGAATAAGTACCCATTGATGGACTTATTTGAAAGACACCTTTATTATTTAATATTTTGATGGTCCATCGAATTTTCTATGCGTCTTTCATCACGATAGGAGAAATTTGTGTTCATATGGTTCAAGTTTGTGTGTTTCAAGGCTCTTCTGAATGTTTATTACTTTGAGGATGTATTATCGTATTTGTAGTCATGTTAAGCTTTTATTGTAATTTAAAAATTCACGAATATATTTTATTATATTGTATAATACAACTATATTATATTTTTTATTATTATGTATTACACTAATAATTTTTTTTATATATTCACCGTGCAACGCACGGGGCAAAATACTAGTATATATTAATAAAATATATATTTGTTATCAAACCTAATTTGATAAATTACAAATTAATAATACTATAAAAGACTAAGGAATCCAAAGTCGAACCAAACAACGTCTCCCCAAACACCCTCTTATATATAAACCCTATCCGCCACCTTTACTCTCATTCATTCTCATACTAAAAAAAATATTTACTTTTAATTTTCTCTTCTTTTCTTGATGGAGCAAATCAACTCCGGCTACATCAACAATGTTCTTCTTTACGATCAAATAATCTCCGACACCATACGCGATCACCCGGCACCATCTCATCCGGAATTCATAATCGGTATCCACTTCTATCTGCAACCGATCTCGCAATCGTACGTTGTAAACGTAGATTCCGGGGAGCCGGAGTTGACCGGAAGTTACCCTTACCCTACCGTGGAAGATCAAGTCTTCCTGAAGCTGTGCGATTTCTTAAACCGCCAGAGGGCGCGCGACATCATCAGAGAGAAGCTTAGCCAATCGTTCATGATCGGGGACGAATTCCTGCACAATTGGATTGAGGCGGTGCTCGAGAAAACGAGGGCGATTGTCGGGTCCATGCCGGCCGAGCACAACATCGTGCTGGTTGTGTCCCCGGCTAGGTTTAGCTGCCAGTCCGTGTATGATCCCAGGTTGCCGGCGTTGGCGGAGGAGGAGACGGCGGTGGAAGAATATTACGAGGATATTAATTATATGGTTCGTGCGGCGGAGGATTGGATTGATCGGGTCTTGGTGAAGAGGACGGTGGCAGAATATTCTTCTTCCAACGACGACGAAGATGGCGGTTTCGGGACTTGTACGGTTTGCTTGGAGGGATTTTCCAACGAAGCTTATTCGATGCCGTGCGGGCATTATTTTCACGGAGATTGCATCCGGGAGTGGCTGAGGACTAGCCACTCCTGCCCCGTTTGCCGTTACGAGGTTCCAACGATAACGACGACGACGATAGAGATTTTGTATTGATTTAATTGTTTTGGGTTGGAGATTTGTTGTTTGTTAAGAATTCTAACTCTTTCATTATTTTGGGGAAAGTGTACTTTATTTATTCAGATTGATCAATAAATTATGTTTTTATTCCAATTTTAGATTTAATCCTGTACAGATGATTGAATTTAATTTATGATATTTGTAATAAAAAAAGACTCGATATTTCTAAATAAATTTACCCAAGAAAAAGGTTGAAGTACTTGAGCTGGGAAGGACTCATAAATACTTCCAATCTTAATATTTCCAAAGAAAATTACCAATAATAAAGGTTGAATTGGATGAAAGGACTTCTAATCTAAGTTATATTGTAAAAGGCCTGAATCGGTTGGATGCGATTAGGCACAACTTCATGATTAATCGGCGAGACGGTGATTGATTGAAAATATCAATTTTTCATATATAATTAATATAAACAAAATACAGCATAAACTCATTTTTTATTACAATCCCAATTGCTTTTATTGAATTAAAAAAAAATTGAAAACAATTTTTTTTACTATTAATGTTTGACATGCGTCCAAGTTTTGACCGCCTTAAATCGCCTACAGATCCAAATTCAATCTTTCAAAAATTTACACCAAAATCATAAAGGTATTGGATCGCCTTCAATTCTAAGCCGATTAATCGGCCGCCTCGGCCGATTTTTAGAACAGTAAATATAACAGTTATAAATTTGAGGATGTATGTATCTATTAGTCATTGAAAATATTTTCTTTCTTAAAAAAAGAAAGATTAAGGGGCTTGTAGTCATTTCTCAATTTTACAGGGGGGACTATTTGTCACCATAACTATTTTATTGGGGTTAAAATTGCCATTTCCTCCAAAAATTCATCCGGAACAAGAAAAAGTCGGAAAAACTCGGTCTTTGCAGCACGAGTGCGATGAACGCGAGGAATCTCCGACTATGGCAGAAAAGTTCCCTAATTCTCGAACAAGTATTAATCGGGAGCAGATTTTACAGCACGAAATCGAATCCAACGGTTGATTTAAGGAAACTTCGACCCGTGATTTTGAAGCGGATTGAGGAACGGGCCAAGGAATATCCCGTCAGAGGCATGCTTCCCTTAGCCCACGAAGTCCTCCAGGCCCGAACTGCTCTATACGACGGCGTTTCGACCCTCATCCACCACATTCCCATCTGGGCTTGCAAGTAATTTCACAAACCTTCTCTTTTCATTTCATATGTTTGTCGCAATTTTTTGAATTGGATTGAGAATTGAAATCATTTTAATTTCAAGTCAAGGGTTTTTAGCTTGTAATTTTGAATTTTGTGCTGAATTGTTTTTTTTTTTTTTTTGGGTTATTGGATTTAGTATGCATTTATTTTTTTAAGGTAGATGTGATCTTTGTAGTGGAGTAGATTCATCGTTTTTGCTTATCGGCGTTAATTTAACCTCGTTAGTACGGATACATTAGATAGAGAAACGAGATCCAAAATGTGATGCATTTTTCGTTTCGAATACAATGCTTCATTGTATCGAATAATTGAACTAGGGATTCGATTTCTGTAATTTGGGATAAGTGGGATTGCTCTGATAATTCAATGAATTCTAGTCTCGTCATGCTCGATTCGCCTTCGAACTATTCTACTTACATCAGTGGCCAAAAGTACAATATCCGCTGCTTGAAAAGGCTCGTTTGATTATTCGTTGATATGGTTTTCGATATGTGACATGTCAGCATGGTCGTTTCAGTGTAATATATTGGATTACATTTATTCCTAATCGAAATTAGTAATCTGAATACGTGCGGAAGTATACAGTTCCATGATTAATATTCAGATAACTAATTTCGGTTAGGAATAAATACAATCCAATATATTACGCTGAAACGACTACCGTTAAGACGTTTATTTAACTTTCATAATGAGTTATATATGTGCTGTTTAGAAATTTAACTTTAGACTCGTATTGTATTAATTTTGGTGAACGAAAACTTATTGACTTTGTAGGTATATAAAATATCATCCATCTTCGAGATTTTCCGTAAGTCGCTCTTTTTTTTTTAATATATAATAATATTGTTATTTTGCTTGTTCCAGATACTGCTCAGAAGTTTATATAGGCGAAGGCGGTCACTTAATTCGAACATGCCATGGTTTCCACCGCCACGCAAAGAACAAGGTCCACAGTTGGGTTAAAGCAAACACGAACAACGTAGTAATCCCCGTCGAAACTTTTCATCTGCAGAAAATGTTCCAGGATGTAATAAAGCACCACGAGAGATTCGATTACGATCGAGTCCCAGCAATAGTGGAGCTCTGTTTACAGGCTGGAGCAGATTCCAATCATCAAAACGGGCTCGAAAAAAATAATAATATTTTAAATTCACTGTCGGAAGACGAGTTGAGATTCGTAGCCACGCAAACTCTGAGGGCATGGGAAGCACTTCGAAGTGGGGTCCACAGGTTGCTGTTTGTATATCCGGCTAGGGTTTGTAAGCACTGTTCGGAAGTGCATGTCGGGCCTTCGGGGCATAAAGCCCGAATGTGTGGGGTGTTCAAGTATCAGAGTTTTCGTGGGGCCCATTTTTGGGAGAAGGCAAAGGTGGATGATTTGGTTCCTCCGAATATGGTTTGGTCCAGGCGGAGACAAGATCCGCAGATACTTGTGGATAAAGGAAGGGAATATTACGGTCATGCCCCTGCGGTGGTGGATTTGTGCAGTAAGGCTGGTGCTTTGGTCCCTTCGAAATACTTTTGTATGATGAAACTGGATGGATTGACTGCTCCGAATTGAATGAGGTGGCGGTTTTTTTCATGGTGCTGCTTTCGACTAGTATAGATATACGAGAAGGGAGTATTTTTCATGGTTCCATTGATTTTAGAGATTGATTAACAAATACATGTGACATTTTCTTATAATTTTGTCTAGATAATATATATCCCTGTCCAAATAAAACGGTCTCGTAGATGCTACATCTGGTGGTAAAATACATACGGTAGTTTTCTACATTTGATTTTATGCAAAATCGCACGAATGTACACATATGTTGATGTGTGTAAATATATATGGATAGATACATGTATGTATAGTACATATATAATTCGGTAAAATTCACCGGCGTAGCATAGAAACGGGTGTTACTTCAAATATTTCAACAAAAATCCGAATCAAAAGTATTTGATGTACATTATGTTTAATACTGAAACACGGACACATAAAGACACTCTTAATAAGGTCTAATTATGAGTATTCAAACACACAATATACACTTGTGATGAGATAATTTAAGTTTCCTCGTCAAATACCGTAAATGAAGTTTCCTCGTCAAATACCGTAAATGAAATTTCTCGAACGTTATTATATTTATAGAGAACTACTTACAGTGAGGAACGATCTTCCAGCGTTGGTTATCGCCCATCGCCCACTCCCAGAGGACTATTTTAGTGTCATCGCGGACCCCACCGTGGTCTCAGTCACCATTGAAAGCATCCACATTTAGACGGATTTAGTTAGCCATCTTTATTGCACGATAACCATCGCCCAAGTCCCTACCGAATGTCCATAAAATCGATTCATCAAGAATATCAGCATTGTAAGGAATCAACTGGACCTGTCACACGACGAGTCAGTAATAGATCTTTTGTTATCACTAATTGCTTTTTTTATTATTATTTTTTAACTATATTAAGTTAGTGATATCATTAAAGCAATGGCTAATCGGTGAAAATCGTATATAATCGAAGCAGATCGTAGAAATTCAATAGAATTACATCTGATCGATTTTCTTTTAACATTGAAATCAAAACGAATTGTTGAATCGAATCATAAATCGTAAGAGTTTGATAGCCATAAATTATTGAAGTGTTCTACATGAAAATTGGTTAAACCTTCTAAGAACATAACATCATCACTGAACATTCTAAGGTTGACTTTTTTTTTTTTTGTTGCAATAAACTGATTTATAAAAATGATGAATCAAAGATTGAAGGGATGTGATCGATATGAACGTACAGGAAGAGTGGCTCCGGTGGAGTGTTTCATGGCTTGTCCGGTGGCTTTATTAACCAATGCGAAACTTGGGAAACCCTCTTCGTCCTTCACCTTCGTGCTCCATTTCTCGTCTTCTATCCAGTGCTTGATAATTATGAATCAATATTTCCACAATTAATTAAAAAAAAAAAAAAAATCAATTTCGATTTATAATTTCGGAGAAATAAAAAAATGGATCGGGCGGGAAACCTGAAGCGGGTCAGAACGATCGGAGCGGGCGAGGATGACCTTCCCGTCGCGAATGGTCAGAGAGTAATTCGTTTCCCCCTTGCAGAACATCTTCACGGCGGATTTCTCTGCCGCTTGATCCTCCTTGTGCTGATCGACAATAGACGGAAATTGGACCCTATGCAGGTGGTGGTGCGTGTTTTCCTCGACGGGGGCTCGTTTCCACCGTGAAAGGGAGGCGGGCGCGACCGTCCCGGCGGCGGACGGTGGTATTATATATATATATATATATATATATATATATATATATATATATATATATATATATATATATATATATATATATATATATATATATATATATATATCAACGCTAAAGAGAGTTCCAATGGAAATTTTATGCTACATCTGGACCTGATTACAAAATCATGTGATTGATAACCGTGGATCTACACATAATTACACACACTCATATATTTAACCTCATTTACGATTAACAAATACCGGGTGTAAATAACATAGTGTAGCATATAATTTCCCATGTATACGCCATATAAACTGCGTATTTGTCCCAATGTAGCATTAAATATAAACTTAAGATATATTCACGAACATACACTGAGACATGCAACGCATGAGAAGTGATCTTGAGATACAAACCATACTTCAATTATTTCAATTCAAAATCAGAATCAAAAGTAGTACATTATATGTTTTTACATCGAACAACATAAACGAACTGAAACGAGAAAAAAATGGCGCCAGCGTAACGAAAACCAATCAGCAAACACAAACACTGCAAATCAACGAGGCAGGCAAATCACGTACATAGATCCTCCTGCACAACCAAGAAAAACAACTACTAGTCAGAACAAAGCAAAAAAACAAAACCAGAAATTAATACACAAAACAGTCACCAAATAAACGTGTAACGAATTTATTCGAACATTATATTTTATATGTATAGCGACTACTTACAATGAGGAACAATCTTCCAGCGTTGATTATCGCCCTTCTTCCACTCCCAGAGGACTATCGTAGTGCCATCGTGGACCCCACCGTGATTCTGGTCACCGTTGAAAGCATCCACGTTTAGGCGAATGTTGTTAACCATCCTTATTGCACGATAGCTATCGCCCAAGTCTCTGCTTTCGGTCCACAAAATCGATTCATCAAGAACATCAGCATTGTATGGAGTCAATTGGACCTGTCACAAGATGAACAACAATATCAAATCAAGTTACAATTTACGAGCTCTTTCTTTTCCCTTTGGTCATGATCCAAAATAAGCGATACAACCATACAGACTTCCGAGAGATGTACTACTACTAGGTTTCTTGATTACCTAAATTAGAACACAATTTTTTTTTTTAGTTTAGCAACCATCGCTTCGCATTAGCTTATGAATACTGCAAGAGTCGAACTCAGGAGTTACGTAATCTTCATTAACTATAGGAACCAAAGCAATCAAACACATAAATCCAACCATCTAATTCCAAAAGAGATTATGATACTTTAGTTACATATAGTAGTAAATGGAAGTATGGAAACATATAATGAACACATGCATGCTACACCTGATTATTTACACCGGGTGGATTTGAATCATATATTTGATTAAATAACTACCCACTAAGCACACGTGTGTGCGTGTGAGTGTGATTATGAGTAGATCTACGTTCAAATTCACCCGGTGTAAATAACAAGTGTATTATCTAATTTTCCTCTTTGAATAGCTTCTGATCACACTAGGGTTGACTTTTTTTTCTTTTTTTTTTTTTTTTTTTTGGCAATAAACTGAAGAACATTGTTGATCATGAAAACCAATCTGCCACAAAAAATGTAATTAATTTAATAAAAAATGATGAATTAAAGATTGAAGGGATGTGATATAGTAAGAACATACAGGCTGAGTAGCTCCGGTGGAGTGTTTCATGGCTTGTCCGGTGGCTTTATTAACCAAAGCGAAACTCGGGAAACCCTCTTCGTCCTTCACTTTGGTGCTCCACTTCTCATCTTTAATCCAGTGCTGATGATTATGAATCCAGATTTCCACAATTGAGAATTCGATTTATATTTGTAATGGAAGAAAATTGAATAATTTGAGAGAAATGTAATGGATCGGGGCGGAAAAAACCTGGAGCGGGTCGGATGGATCGGAGCGGGCGAGGATGACTTTCCCATCGCGGATTGTGAGAGAGTAATTCGTTTCCCCCTTGCAGTACATCCTCACGGCGGGTTTCTTCGCCGATTGATCCTCCTTGTGCTGTTTGTGGTGATCGATGATCGATGGAAAGTGGGGCATGTGAGGGCGGTGGTGCTTGTTTTCCTCGGCGGAGGGTGGCGGTGGCGGTGGCGGATCAGAGTACTCGGAGTAGGAGGATGGCGGCGAAGGGTATGAGTCCGGACCCGGTCCACTGTGGGAAGTGTGGTACACTTGCGGCGGCGGCGGTGGATCATTTCCGCCGTAAAAGGGTGGGGGAGGGTATGAGTCGGGGTAGTACACTTGCGGCGGCGGGGGGTCGTACTCGTTTCCGCCGTAGAAGGGCTGGGGATGGGGCCGTCCCGGCGGAGGATAATGGTGGTCTTCTTCTTCTTCGTCTCTCCGGTCTCGGCCGTGGTGGGGGCGGTGGTTTCCGTGTGGGTAATCCATGTTTTGAATTTCTTCTCTGTTATCACCTCACAGCTGTAGTGGCGATCATAAATAAATAAATAGGAAGCCCGAATTCCGAAGAAGAAAGATATTTAGGGAAATGATTTAGAGAGAGAAAGAGTGAGGAGAGAGAAAGAGGTGGGGATCTGAGAATGGCAGACAAAGGACAGATGCTGTGAGGTGGGATGGGACGAACCGTTGATAAATTCTTCTCAGCCCGTTGCATTACACCCCACGTTAACCCCTTAATTAATGTTGTATCTATTACAACGTGATTTTAAACATGACCGCCCATCGGGTCGGGCCAAAACCGGCCCGTTCACCACACTCTATTAACTAACTATTGATAAAATAAGCTCACATGGGTGTAGTTCAACTGGTTCTAAAGGTGGTAAGTTAGTGTAAGGTCCTAGGAATTTCAACTCCAGTGATGGTTGGTTCCTTGTGGGCACCAGGTCCGGGTCCGCTATCTTAACGGCATGATTTACATTCCTCCATCAATTCTTGTCGGGCCAAAGAATAGGGAAGGGCCCTGGGGGCGAGGGATTTCGCCTTTTTGGTGCAACTATTTATAAAATAAAATTAATGTGTAAAATGATAAATAGATGACGATTTTTTGTAAACGCGCATCACTTTTCTAAATAAAATTTCTAGATTTCAATTCCATCCGTTTATCATCTCTTTTGAATTTATTATTTCTAAATAAAATTTCTGGATTTCAATCTCATAATAAAATTTCTAGATTTCAATTCCATCCGTTTATCATCTCTTTTGAATTTATTGTTTCTAAATAAAATATCTGGATTTCAATCTCATATTTAATTTTTTTACGGTTGAATTTCTAAATTTAAATAACGATTTTTTACCTTTTAGAATTAAATTGGGAAAAATTATCTAGACTCAAAATTTGTTCATTGGTTTGTCTTGAAATTGAAAAGTAGAAGTTTCTACTTATAGTGAATAGTTTTTGGGTGGTGTTTGTGGATTAAAAACACAAAAAATGCTTAACACTTATATCTAAGAAAGTTTCTACAGTAACCTTAATGTAAGTTATGCATAAAATTTGATAAATTCGTGCTTTGACGATTAATAATGTGATATTCTAACAAAATAAAGATTTGAAAGAAAAAAATGGGATTGATGGTAGGTTTAATTTCTTAAATAAAATATCATACGTTTACTAAAAGATGCCCTGTATTTATAAAAAATACAGTACCAAAAGAATTACATTATTTTTGTTTAATACTCCAAAATAGCAATTTCCAGTTCGATTTTATAGATGTTATATCCGATTAAATACAATAGATTTCTATTAACTAATTAACTAAATAATACTAGCTACTAGTATTTAGTTAATATTTATGGAATTAATCCAAATTAATTTTGATATAGGTAAATTATCTTCTATTCTAGATATACTTAAATATTGTGGACCACCACGATATGAATGTTTCAATCTATCACCATCTCAGTTTGTCAATTCCTTTTTTTTTTTGAAAAGACATTGCAAACTTTATTAGGCACTATTGGCCAAATGTGAAGGGAGAATAGTTCCTTCCGAACATTCAGAAACAGAGATGGAAGCTAGTTTATGAGCCAAGCTATTGCCCCGTCTCTTAACAAAGGAAAATTTGCAAAAAGAAAAAAATCGAGCTTCAATAAAACATTCTTCTAAAATGGCACCATATGATCGGAGCGTATGTGCCTTGTTGCGTAAAGCTTCCATAATTTGTAAGCAGTCCCCCTCTACAATTATAGATTGCCATTGACGATTACGGCTAGTGACGAGGGCTTGGAGGACAGCACGAGCTTCTCCATCAGGTGGTCAGACCCTGCCCATTAACTTCCTCACCTTCCACCAGATGCATCTACCGGTGTAGTCACGGGCCACCAAAGAAATATTGTAGTAGTCCTGTCCCAAAGGAAATGCGGCGTCCACGTTAACTTTAAGGGTTCCCGTTGGTGGAGGCTGCCAAACTTCTTGGAGGTTGGGTAGTGGAAGTTTGAGGTGGCGAAATTGTGCTTCATTGAATGTTTGGAGATAGATACTGCACCAACCGATAATATCTGCTAATTTGAAGCACTCCTCCCCGTGAAGCTGCCGATTTCTCCTTTCCCACACTTTCCAGCACACCACCACCGCCAAAAGAAAATACTCTTTAGCCAACGTTTGCTCCAGATATTCCAACCAACTCCAGAACGGATTGCCATCATCGAAATGGGAGAGATGAAAAGGGGCCTGTCTCCAGAGTTGTCTAACGCCCTCACACCCAAATATTGCATGGAGGGTCGTCTCATGTTTATGTCCGCACGACGGACAAAATGGGTCTTGGGTAATCGTGCGTCGGAAAAGTTCCACTCTGCATGGGAGGATTTCAGCACACGCGCGCCATAGAAAATTACGGATCTTAGTCAATTCCACTATGTTTCTTCTTTTAATCGGACTTGTTAAAAAAAATTGTTGCTTTGAAAAGCTAAAACAAATTAAGGTAAATTACAATCACCTCCTTCAGATAAAATCAATTTACAAAAGAAAGCCCTCATTTTATATAAATTACATGCAGACCCCTGCAGTTTGTAAATTTCTTGCATCCACCCCTACAAAAGGGTGTTAATGTAAGAAATTTACACATTTCAAGGGGTATAGATGTAATTATGAAAAAAAAAGATTTTTTTTCGTAAATAGACCTCTCAGGGGGCCGGTTGTAATTTACCCAAACAAGGGATGATTTACATGAGTTTGAATGGCAATGCTCAAGGAATTTCCAAACCACTCACACACACACAATTACAGTGCAGAAACAAATTACAAAATCCCATCTGCATGCACAAACACTTTAAAAAAAATCAGATTCATGGACTCTAAAATGGAAATTTGGAAACATTATTTTTTTATAATTTTTTTTTTCTTTCTAAAAATGAAGCTGGTAGCAGAATTACTGACAGGAAGTCTGTTCTATGTAGAAGTGAAAGAAGACGATACCGTAGGAGACCTAAAGAGAGAAATCGGAGACCAAGAAAACCTTCCGACCGATAGGCTCATTTTCATTCTAGATGATTTTTATAATAATCGTACGTTAATGGACAATAACGAAACTCCTCTCAAAGATTACGGTGTTAGAGATAGCTCCCATATCTATATTTTCTTTGAACCTGCTGATGATATTGACAGCCCCACTTCGTGTCCAAAAGATTCTGCCTCGAACGAACCCTCGTCTCCCAATGCTGCTGTTACATGAGAATATATATATATTATATATATATATATATATATATATATATATATATATCATCGTAGATTACCAATTTTTGGGTTTTTTTGGTTTTTTTTTTTTCGGGGTACCGTTTCTTGGCGTATTTCCAGCCCGCAAAAAATTACGATAAATTGTGCGCTTTTCTAAGTCCCTTACGTTTACTAGAATGTGCTAGTTGCTCGTGACAAAATACAATGGTCATCTTAAGTGCTTCTATACAAACGATAGTATCAGAGAAACAGAGTAATTAGAGAAAAAAAAAATTAGATTTAAAAGTTCAAATATAAAATAAAAATAATGGAAAAAAAAATAAGGCCCCCTTCGTTTCACAATGTACGAAGCTCCGGAAATGTAAATTCAAAGTAGATTTCGTCAAGCAGTCAACTAAACCATCCCAGAAAACAACATAATTATAAGGAAGGTAAAAACAAGACTTGAGTTATAACAGAATTGATATGTTCAGACAAAAACTACACTAAACTGACAATTAACAAACAAAACAAAAGAGAGAAAATGTCAAAAAAACTAGTGTACCGTAGAAAACGTTGTTCCAAGATTGTACCCAAAAACGAGCACGAAGAACACAACTTGCCGCAATAAAACTTGCACACAAAAGACCATTTTACCCTCACTCCGACCCATCAGGAAAAGATTCCAGAGCATCTTCCTTGCCATCCACGTAAAACTCAACAACTGCTTTCATCCTCGGAAGTTTATCAGGGTGGTAATTCACATGAACAATAACCGGCTTAAGTTTCCTCAAATTCGCATCTTTTCTAACCGTTTTAAAAAGCACCTTACTATTCATAAACATGTAGAAATCCATAGTCCTCTTTGAAGCATAAAGCCCCACATACCCCGGATGAGAAGGAAAAAACAACTCCTCGTTAAAAACAGCTTGATCCCATGCATTCGCCTCTGTACCAACTCTGTAAGCAATCCGATCCAAAAGCTCAATCGAAGGTACAGTAGGTCTTATATAAAAAAACCCAGAATTATAAACCCATATTCTCATTGTGTGTGCATAGCGGGCCCACCCCATTGCAGGCTCGTCAAAAACATCATTGTACCCATACGCAGTCATGTTGTTATGACCGTCGGACATAGATTCCACATCGGAGTCTCTGTATAAGTGTTCGAACGGATTCTGCAAGAATACTATATCTACGTCGGAGAGAAGAATGCTGTAGCCTAATTGAAGAAACTCTCTCAAGATTTTGAATTTCAGAGCTGAAACCGCATGATTGCCGCCCGTTTTTCCGATAGAGTCGATACCTTCGTCTGGGTCCCTTTGGTAGACAGGGACGTTATTTGACTTGCAAAAATCGACAATTGCATCGTCTAATGCAACCACTAAATAGTTAGAAATGCCCACTTTCTTGATGTTTGTGAACCAAACTTCTAGCATGGATTTTACGTTCGAATTGGCAATGCAAACTATGAGCTCTTTTCTGACAGAAACCTCGGATAAGATCTTTGCGAGCCTTGGATTTACAGTTTCGTCGGGGAGAACAGTTGGGTTTGTTCTTAAACCCTTGACGGTACCGAAAGGACCGGCTTTGTGGGGTTCACTCAATGTAATAACTTGCTCCCTTGCATGGCCTTTTACTTGCTCGGCTAATCGTAGTTTTTCATTCAACTCCCTAACTTGCCTTTTCAATTCGACATTTTTATCTGATAATTTCATAATATCTGACTTAATCCGATCGATTTTTTCAGAGGACTCGCATGATGCCGGATCGACCTGAGTACAAATCCGAGACATAATCAAGTAAGTAATTCGAAAACTCTTACATGTGTCGGAAATCATAGAATTGTTAAGCTTTTTTCAGATACAGCACAAACATAATTCACTATAGTAAAGTCAAACAGTGCTTGAGCATGTAAATTCGATCCAGAAAACCCTAAAGAACAGGTAAAGTCAACTTCCCTCAATTCGCACAAAAACCACAAATCTGAATCCAAACAAATTATAAACACTACACACGGTGCACATTAGCAGATTACCACATGAAGAATAAAAATGGGCACCTCGAGGTTGGAATTCGTTTGAGCAGACGGATTTGCTGAGAAGAATCCATGGGGGAACAAAAACGCGAACACGCATCCGGCGATTACTCCGATCACAATAGCGGCGGCGATTCGCGATCCGCGGAACGATGATTGGCCGCTCTTCTCCCGGCTCCGGCCCAACGCCATCTCCAAACTATCTCGAATTATCACCGACGCCGGAAAAATTCAAAACTGAAAAAGCTTTTCACCGTAGCATAGTTTTCCTCAGTAATTTCGTCTTAGTGTTTGATTTTATCGAATTTTTGCGTACGAAGTTGTATCTGCTCTTGGCTCTGAAATGGGGAGAGGAGTTCTGCCATTGTTATGGTCTTTGGACTAGTTTAGTAGCAGAGAAGGGAGGAGGGGCGATCGCCTGTTGTGAGGTGTATTTAGAAATGGTGGAGTTGCGGGTGGAGACGCTCCTATTGGCTGGTAGACGGGTCAAGTCAACTTACAAGCTGGACTATTTTGGGGTTGACTAGTCGTCCCTCTCCAGCTTTACCAAATCCCATTGACTACTGCAGAAATGGAATTGGTGTGGAATTATATTATGAATATAATTGTGCGATAATGGTGGCCCTTATTATTATTTCGGCTTACAAACTTATTGTAATTCTTCAACGGTACTTGTTTTTAATAAATATGTATCTTTAAATGCGTGACATAATTATAAATCAGATGAGTAGATATAGATTTTTTTTTTAAGGGGCATGGATATTATAATTTGGCGTAAATTACACCCAACCCTGATCTAATGTCAAATTAGGAGGAAAAAAAAAAACCCTTTTTTTTTTTAAATTACAACAATCCAACTATGAATTCAACGGAATCTTCTAGATTTCGTGAAATCTTCTCTAGTTTGTACTCATTTTGTGCAAAGATGCCGTTTGTGATGCACCACAATATAATATATACAAGCCAAAAGACACATCTTATGATCATCTTTTTTCAAAATGTGGAGCTCGAATGGAGTAAAACGGGAGGCTAGAGAATATTCCACATAATTTAGAAGATTCCACTAAATTTGAGGGATAAGAAGATTCAAGAGGTAGTTGCAATTATTCAAACATAAGGAGGTGTTTCTAGGAGTTGTTTCGTAAATTGACATTACTCAGGGGTGACCGTAATTTACCCTTAATTTTATATCAAATTGATACTCGGAGTTTAGAAACTTTTGATAAGAGGTAAGATGTGAATAAATCTATGACTACAATTCCAAAACACCATAGGACAAAATCAAAAACATGTATAAACTTTCTCATTTCTCACTATTTTATCTGTACACATAGTCCTATCCAATTTTCAGTTTGTGGGGTTTAAAAAAAAATCACAAAGAAAAAAGAAAAAGCAAAAGACTAGATTTATATACAAGAGTTGCCAAGCTTGGCCATCACCAAGAGATTTTAAGCAATCGAACCTTCGAGAAATGATAGAATCAAACCGTCACCATCACTTCCATGTAGAAATAATGTCTCTAGTTACGAGCATTTGGCTGAAAGGCCTTCCTGCAAGAGATCAATTGCGCAAGAGTTATATTTCCGAGTTTTCAAAATAAATGCACATGGAAGTAATTATGTTTCGTCCACCATTTTCCAATTTTATAATGAAGTCATCACGTTCAAAGCAAAACGATAAGGAAAAAATTGAGCTACATTGGTCAGAGATGTGTTTCTTGGTGTGTTTGTGAGTGTGTGAGAGAGAAAGGAGAGAGTGCGTACATTGTGGTCGTTTGTGATGTAAGAAACGACAACGGTGATGTCATCGAGTTTGCCACCATAATAACGGAAACCGGCTTCTTGTGCAGCTGCAGAGAAAGGGGTCTGCCTGTTTTTGTCTTGTGCTCGTTGTCTTGCCAGTGCTGCTATCTTCTGTGCTGTAACCTGAGGACCTAAACCAGCTCTCATAGCATGAACCACAACAGACGTAACATCGTTGTTATACAAGTTGTCGAAAAGCCCGTCTGTCCCTGCAATTACAACATCCCCTGGAGCAACGGGTATCGTAAACACCTGCAAAACACACATTAGGATCTTTTAGTTAAGATTCACATTACGCAGGAATAATTCCAAAATAAATGAGAAAACAAAAACGGAATCACGTTTTGCATTAAAAGTTGCTTATCCTATCTAATCACTTCAAACAGATGTTAACGAACCTGTCCAGAGCTAGGCAAATCACCAGCATTCCCACTCTCCAATTGATAAGTAAAATTGAAATCGTGCTGCTGAATAGGTGATCTGAAAACCGTGCATCCGTTTCTAATCACCATAAACCCACTATCCCCTAAATTAATCGCATGGAGTCCCTACATAAAAAAATTAAAAAATTAAAAAAAAAAATAGAAAACCCGACTATTCAATGTTGTTGCTCAGCATGTTTATCATAGAAAAGAATAAGTTCACGGCATACCTGATTGGTGAGAGCAATAATACAAGCAGTAGATGAGCCTTTTGCTTTCGTCTTAGTGTGGGCTTTCTCCAAGACTCTGGCTGGGTCGATGGAACCCCGTGGTTCTTCTTGTATTGCGTAAACTGAATTTGACATGAGTTCGCGCGCATACTTTCCTGCATCAACACCCAAATCAGCCCATCCACCTACACCATCAGCTACACCAATTGCTTGTTCGTCTATACAAATGAAATGAGCATCCTCTCCTCCAGTTTCTTCTTTGTCGGGATGTGGCAGGTAGCATGATCCTGATTTCAGTTTCAGTGTTCTGTCGATCGGAATATTCCTGCAACCAGTCACCAACGAGAACCATGAGCTGCCATACTGATTTCAAATAAACAGGAAACTATTCATTTTTTTTTCTAGGTAATTTTGAACCATGAATTGTAATAAACAATTCAAAATATTCTTGAAATGATAAAATTGCTCCTTAATTAAACAATTTAAATCATGATACTACAAATCGAAAGGAACATACAGATTGGATGAATCTGCGGAATTTGAATGCTGTTCCTCCTTGATAGGATTGTCGAAGGTTACGTCTGCTGCGGTGCTAGCAGATGAATATGATGGTGATATGTTATGGAAACCCTCAAAACCAAACCCGAGGAGTGGATTTCCGTTGCCCTTTCTCTTGACGACATTGTATACGAAATATCCATAGAGCAAGAAGTTATTCGGCTGCTCCTTACGGCTCAAACTCATCGTAAATTTTCCAACATTTTCAAAGCTATTTATAATGCGAGCGCTGGAAGAATGATATGCAGCCGCACCACGTTGACCAGGAATACAAGTCAAATTACTGATAGAGCAGTCGATAAGCGCTGATCTGGACCCACAGGCAGCCATAAGTCCCTTTTGAGTGTTGATTCCAAGAACCTGATTAGGCTCGGATAGCAAACAATCAACGTGACACCCTGAAACAGATGGTAGAGAAATCGAACGAGAAAATGCTCCAACAACTGAAAGGCTCTTCCTTTGACTGGCTGAATGCAAATTAGCTTGAGCAGCAGCAATCGTGCCGGGCCGAATAAATACATGCAGGTCGGCAAATGCTCCAGAGGGTAAGGAATGTAACAGCCTCGACTGGCCAAGCAATAATTTTCCTTGGCCAATCAAAACATCTACAACCTGATCTTGGATACGAATTTCTTTACCAGATACCGATCTCCACGCTCCTTGCCAGATTGCACCACGAAGTTTCGAAAAATAATTAGGCATCTCCCTGGTTTAAGTGAAGTAAATCCGGAAGGTTCTTGTAAACAAAAGATAATATCATCACTCCCCGTGCATCTATTCACATCCAAACGAACATGATGGTCGTCAACAAGAATCTGAAACATAGACCACAAAGAGAAAATATAATGAGGACGCAACTCAATACCAAATCGTTCCATACGTTGATTGCCAGGAAAAAATCATACGACAGTAACTAAATTTTTATGCGACATATAAATCATGGTCGGATATTGTATAATAACAGGTAAAGATATATTTCAACTGGGGAAAACCTATATCGAAAATCAACATATGCTAGATCCTATACAGATTTGCTGCCAAGTGAGCTTCTCTTTTGCAAATTCAACCAAACAAAAATCGAAAAAACATCTGTTCTAAATTCTAATTTCACGGCAGCACGCAAAAACGAACAAATCGATAGACGAATATCAACAGGAAGGAACAATTCAACATCAATCAAATCGTCAACCAACACAAGAATCATACAACATCAGACAAAGACGAAATACAACGCCCCTGCAAATGAAAATCTGAGCTTTTTCATCAATCACAAAAACAAAAATTTAAAAAAAAAAAAAAAAAAACACGCCGATATATATCCGCACCTTCAGCAACGATTCGACCGACGAATCACTGATCAAAGCGAGAACAAAATTTCTGGATTTACATCTGATTAAACATGAAAAACACAAATATATCTGCCGATGTTCAGATATGGCGGTTGGGATCGCTGAAACGGCAAGACTAGAAATTTCCAGAGAAGAGGAGATTTGGGAATTGGGGGGTAATAGCCCCCACCCCCTCTCAGCAAACACAAACAAATTAGGTTCCACCACTAATTTGGGGGGTTTGAATTTTGAATGTTTACTGGTCAAACACATGAGAATACACACGTGCAATTTTTGGGATGGATGGAGTTTTATCAGTCATTTTCAAATTGATTTTTCTTTTTCTAAATTAAGGACTTATTTAATATCATTTTCAAAACAACTTTCCTTCCATAAAAAAATAAAGCAGTATCAAAACGACTTTAGTTTAATTGTTAATACTTTTTTTAATTTCAAGATTGTCCTTTCGATTTGTAGAGATATCATTTTAGGACTAAAATAGATATTGAAACTTTCTTACTTCAACACATGTTACCGAAATAAATGGAGTTTTTGAATTTCGTCAATTCCGATTCGAAAATATTTGAATTTGTAATCATATATTTTTGTTTCAATTTCTGAAGTTTCGATTTCCGATTTTTCCGAATTTGTTTGAAACGGAAACGGAATTGGAATGGTATATAAAATTACCGGAATTTCCGATTTCCGAATTTCTATGATTTTTTGGAATATATAATATGATTTTATGATATATTTTGTAATAATATAATATAACTTATGTTATATTTTATATGAAATATATAAATACTGAAAGGATCAGGTAAATTAAAAACTTAGAAAATATTAATTGGTATCAGAAATTTTATATTGCATTTTTTTATAATAAAATATATATTTAAATTTGTTGTTCCTACATGTGTTGTTATTAATTGCATTTTGTCAAACTCTTTTGTTGATTTTCTTGCATTTTTTATCAAATTTCAAAAAAGATAGAAAACTAGTGTGAAAATTTTCATTATATCCGAATTGAAATAAGAGATTATAAATCAGTGAAATTTCCGAAATTCCACCGATTTCGAGGTATTGCGAAATCGGAATGATTTTTTGCATTCCGATTTTTTTTTGGAACATAAATTGGAACCCAATTTTTACTTCTGAAAAATAATTAAAAAAATTCCGAAAGAGCCATTTCCAATCCATTCCATTCGATTTCCACCCCTAGTAATAATCGTACAAGTTCTCGGTGAATTGGTGCAATTTCTTTTCATTGGTCACAATGCACAAAACATATAACATAAATACAAAGTACAAAGTATCTTGTACAACAGTTTACACTAAACACAAATTACACAAACTACATATGAAACTTAACTTATTTACAAGAAAATTCGACTAATTTTGAACTCGCAAAATACCAGATATTACAAACACTTCTACAAACATCACTCTACAAGATAAAAACAAATATCAACAGAGTTCCCTTAATTTCGAAATTTAGTTTGAAAATTTTCCATGTAAACCTGTCACACTAAAGCACTAATGCAGAATCCTACTGAAAACCAGTTGAAGACCATATTGCGGCTGCAAAGTCATAGCCTGCATCGGAGCATGAACGTAAGTCGGCGAAATCACAAAAGAATATTCTCTGAGAATCATAGCTAGAACAATCTTAGCCTCAACAACTGCTAAATTCTGGCCAACGCATATTCTCGGGCCTAATCCGAACGGGAAGAAAGATGCCAGATGCTTTCTTGGTTCGGAGAATCTCATAGGGTTGAAATCATTCGCATCATCTCCCCATATCTCAGTATCGTGATGTACATTAGTCATCGCCAAATAGAACTGCGTGTGAGCTGGAACATTAATGCTTCCTAATTTTACATTTTGCGATGTTTGCCTCATTAGCATCACTGCTGGAGGATATAGTCGAAGAGTCTCGTTCAGTATCATACTCATCTGTCGTAAACATGGCATTCTTTTTAGTTCTTTAAATGACAAATTAGTGCGGAATTTAATTTGAAATGGGATATGATAAATGACATTTCAGTTTCAATAATACCGTTCAGATTTCAAAAGTGATTTTGACCATTTTCGAATCTGAATTAGGAAAAACTCAAAATACGGGACTTCGTAGACCGTAGTCCTTTGAGTTAGATCTCTAATCCAACTGGAATTACCAAAATTGGATGTCGGGTAAAAAATATATGCATTAATTAATAAGCACTGCCCACAACTTTGATGTTTTGAGTTGTCTAAAATTCAAAATATAACTCATTCGTGCATAATTTTTCACTTGTAATCCGATCTAGTTGATTCAAGTTGGATTAGAAAGTTAACTCAAAGGACTACGGTTTCCGTCTTTTGAATTATGCCAGAATCAGAATAGAAAAGGGTCGAAATCACATTCGCAGTCAAAACGGTATTAGTAAAATTGAACGACATTTAACATTTCATATTTGAAATATTGTGAGCTTACGAGTTTGAGATCTGATAAATTTTCTGCAGTGGGACGTTTATTGCCAACTTCGTCTCGAGCCTTTTTCTGCCAATCTTGGTGGTGTGCTAAAAGTAGGAGAGCCCATGTAAGAAGATTGGCGGTAGTTTCCTTTCCTGCAAAGTAAAATGTCTTGCATTCGTCTATGATTTCTTCTATACCGAGTCTCTCCTCTACACCGTTTTCGTTTTTATATGGTGACATTAACAATGTGAGCAGCGATTTCGGGTTTTCGCTGCTTTTGCCGTTTTTCTCAATCAATGATCTAATTGATTTCCGAGTTTCCCGATCTAGTTTCCATCTCATTTTGTTTTTCTTCGTGGGCAAAAATCTGCATGCAATCGAACAATTAGAGAGATTAATGACGATATTTAAATCCCTAAAAAAAAAGTTACAAGCTATATTTTATACCTGAATCCAGGGATGTACACAGTTCTTAATGCTTCCAAAACGAGGCCGATTTGCTGTTCTTGGAGTTCAAAAATGCGCTTACCTTCCTCGTAACTGCTACCGAACGCTGTTCGTGAGATGATGTCAGCAGAGAGTTCTTGAAGTTCTTTGTGCACATCAATCTCGAATTCACTTCTCTCTCCTCTTATTTCCTCCCATTTGTTTATTGATTTTTCTGTACTAGCTACTATTTCAGGAATCCAACCCTGTTAAGAATAAAGACCACTAAGCTCAGTTGGCATTACACAGAGCTTGGGAATAAATTCTTAAAGTTAACTTTGACAATTCAATTATAGTTTTTGCGTCGAAGGTTACCTCAAATTGACCATCCATATTGTAAAACTTTTTGGGTGGTGTTTGGAAAAAAATATGGAAATTGGTTATGAGCTTTTTGGCGTCATATGTGGTGTTTGCAAAAGCTTATTTAAAAGCAAAAGTTGTAGATTGTGAGTTAAGTTGATTTTAAGTGCTTATTTCTAAAAGTTGAGGGTGTTTGCAAATTTACTGAAAAATAAACTTTAATTGAAAAAAGGAGGGTCCTATGTTTAACAAATTATTGCTTCAAATTATTTATTTTAAGAGAAGCAAAAGCAAAAATTCATTTGGCTAACAATTAAAAATAGATTATGAGAAGAAAAAAAAAGACATAATCTATTTGTAAAAGCTTAAAATTAACTTTTACTTCTACTTCTCCAAAAATGAACCGTTTTAATATGAAAAGTACCTTTGGAGGGTTATTTCTATGCTACACCCGGTGAATGTTACACCGAGTAATTTTTTACCGTTAATCTACACACACCAATGTAGGTGTGTGTGTGTTTGTGTGTATATGAATGGTAAAGATCTACCCGGTGTATTTCACCCACCCTTTGGAGTTGCTTCTCCAAATTTCAATTTAAAAAAACTTGTGTAACTAACTAAAAAATGCATTTGGCATTTTCACCCTTAGAGCAACTCCAATGGAGAGACATCAAAATGGAGCATTAAACATTCATTTGATACTTGATATAATACTTTGATACTTCTAGAAAAAAAATTCACTCCAACCACAAGCATCAAATAGATTATCAAATTTTAAATATATGAATAATTATATTATTAAATGCCACGTGTCAAATAGTGATAGGTCAATGGAGTGGTTACATTTTTTATACCTCTTTTTCCAAGGAGTATTTTTTCACCTCGGGGTGGTTGAATATCAAAATAGTTCCTCCATTGGAGGAGGATTTTTTAATTTTGAAGCATCAAAGTGGTAGTTTTTTAGTTTGATGCCCCATTTAGTTCCTCCATTGGAGCTGCTCTTATTATCCTTATTCAAATTCCAAGTCATTAGGACAGTTAAGACATTTCACCAAAATAAGTTAAATATTAACATTTATTTGCAAACATATCCAACTTCAAGATTAGATAGAGTACTTAATAGTTTTAGAGTCACTTCCTATAGACGAAGGAAAATAATTCAACCCCTTTCTTTTTTAGGTCAAATTACGGCCACCACCCCGAGGTAACACTAGATTACGGAAAAACCCTTTTTATTTGGGTAATACAACCACCCAGAATTATATATTTTCTTACGAAAAAATTAGGCAATAATTTAAGTCGGATAGTATTTAATATTTTCCCATGATAAACTAAACATAAAGATAAGAGGCAATGATGCCAGCTTTTCGTTGCATGACTGCATCATACATTGACTTTGCCTAAAACGGTGACGTTTCATTATTAATCATCTAATAAGTCTTTTGGGGCAATTTTTTTTTTGGGGTTGTTTTGTTTTGGAGTTTTTAAAATGGGGTTATTTTTTAAGTAGTAATTAAATTGGTGTTGGCCGCCAGCGGGAACGGCGGCATCGGACGGAGCGAGGAGACGCCGCCACCAGTGGCGTCTTCTACTTTTTAAATTATTATTTTAATATTTTAATATTTTCATATTTTTTAATATTTTATTATTTTAATATTTTAATATTTTTTAATATTTTATTATTTTAATATTTTCTTATTTTTTAATATTTTTATTATTTTTTAATATTTTAATATTTTCTGATTTTTAATTTTTTTTTACAAATAAAACAATTCTAACTACATTTTATTAAATTTATTACATTTTATCAATTAGATTTATTACATTTTATCAATTAGTGTTAAATTAATTGATGCATATATTTATCTAATCAACACAAAAAAATATGTAGACAAAAACAAAAGGAGTTTCTAGAAAATAAAAGAGTTATATAAAATAAATAGGTCCAATAAAAGAGTTATATAAAATAAATAGGTTCAATAAAAGAGTTATATAAAATAAATAGTTCTACTACACAGGGATTTATGGATATGTTCGGTGCGTCTACATCTCAGGTACCCATATTTACAGATTTAGTTGGTCTATCTACGATTCTCTAGCTATTTTGGACCTATTTATTTTATATAACTCTTTTATTGGACCTATTTATTTTATATAACTCTTTTATTTTCTAGAAACTTCTTTTGTTTTTGTCTACATATTTTTTTGTGTTGATTAGATAAATATATGCACTGATTAATTTAACACTAATTGATAAAATGTAATAAATTTAATAAAATGTAGTTAGAATTGTTTTATTTGTAAAAAAAAAATTAAAAATCAGAAAATATTAAAAAAATCAGAAAATATTAAAATATTAAGAAATAATAAAAATACTAAAAAATAAGAAAATATTAAAATAATAAAATATTAAAAAATATTAAAATAATAAAATAATAAAATATTAAAAAATATTAAAATATTAAAATATTAAAATATTAAAATAATAATTTAAAAAGTAGAAGACGCCACTGGTGGCGGCGTCTCCTCCCGGTGCCGCCACATTACTACTTCAAAAATAACCCCATTTTAAAAACTCCAAAACAAAACAACCCCAAAAAAAAAAATTGCCCCTAAGTCTTTTATTCAATTAATTTAAAAATTATAGGTTATGTTTGTTAAGCTTTTCAAATTCTTTCCACACTTTCCCCAAAATAAAAATTATCTTTCTACACTATTTTCAAAAATTTTCCCCAAAACAAATTCAAATATTTCTGCTACAGTGAAAATTGTCTTCACTAAAATACAAAATCAAATCACTTTATCTTTTAAATTCTTCTTCCAAAATACCTTTTTCCAACACCTTTCAGATATGATTTGACTTGCTACAGTACAAATTGTCTCCTCCCAAAACACAAACAAACTTTATTTAATTTTCAAATTCTTCTCCCAAAACATCTTTCTCCAAAATAAAATGGAAATGGAAGCCAAAAGCTTACCAAACACAGCCTATACCTTTCAAGATTCTACAAACAAATAAATTAAAAATTACAAATTAAAAATCATATGAAGATAGATAGAGAAATTACCTTAACTCTCTCCATGTTAAAGGCCTGGCTAGAAATCCTCCGGTGAACGCCCCATTTCTCGCCTTCCAGCCCAACGAGTCCTTCGCCGAACAATAACTTCGACGAAGGATTGAATTTGATTTTGTGAAACGATCCGTTGCTGTTAATCAGAATCTCTTTGATCATATCTCGATCGGCTACGGCGAATCTAGGGTTGGCACCGAACCAGTAGAGGAAATTCTTCCCGTACAGCGCCGACCAGCGGCTGTAGTGCGGCACAATCCGGTGAGCTATATCGTGCGTGACGGAGGAGATCGGTTTCGACTCCGCCTCCGCCATCATCCGCCGCCGGATCTCGGCTGTGTTACCGAAGATCGGCCGGTAGCCGGGGCCCCTCACGCCTTGTTCCTCGAAGTGCTTTTGGATCCTTGAAGGGGTCCATATGATTTTGTGAAGGAAATAGTATGAGAGTAGAATCAGTGGCGAAAACAGTAAGAAAAGTGTGAAGTGCATTGTGTGTAAGTGTGTGTGTGTGTGAGAGAGAGAGGGGATGTTTGGTTTTATTTCCAAAACCAATTTCCAGTTCTATACTATTCATAAAACCGAGATCATGTTTGTTTCACAATTTTATCCAGAAAATCCCATTTTTTCCTATCAAATTTCTATTGAAAATACACTATTCATACTTTTTTCAATTTTCAAACCTACTAAAACCTACTACTAACCTATATAT